GATAAATGCAGCAGCTTTCATCTACATCCCATTAAACTCCTAAGATGCAGCAAGGGTCCAAGCCAATCTTGTTTTCTGTTTTCCGCACGATAAGATCCAAAGTTCTGCAGAAACAAATCTTCCTGGTCAAAGCATACAAGGTATTTAAAGTTGTGGAAAATGTAATTTTAAGCATAAAAGGCATAAACCCCTCATACTGAGATTAAAACTGGAAAATTCCATTTTTATTTATTAATTGCTTAAACAGCTCTAGCAACAACACGGGGTTTTGTTTGGGGTTTTTTTTTTTTTGCCTGTAGATGGCGCAGTAGGGCAGCAAAGGTACTAAGTTCTTCCTTAAGTAAAGATTAAATTGCGTTTGAAAGCTAGTCATTACCAGATGCTCATAGTTTAGAAACATTTTTCCAGTCTAAAATTTGTAGCAAGATTTCCACCCAACATAAAAATAGCAAGGAAAGCCCAGAAAATAAAGAAAATGCCTTTGGTTATATATTTTTTATTTTTTTTTAATTAATGATATGCTTTTAATTTCTTTCATACAGCAGTAGCAGTGTGCCTATCCAAACAGGCTTTGGGCACCAAACCAAACCACCCACAATTACCAGCGTTAAAAGAGGTAATATCTTGACCTTTCTCCATTAGCAGAATTTTTAAAGGCCCTTGAGATTTTGCAAGGGAAGATACCCTGTTACTGACAAACTAAAGTATGGAACCATCGAATCACAGACTGGCTGAGGTTGCTAGAGACCTCTTAACATCATGTATTCCAACCCCTGCTCAAGCAGGGTCAGCCAAGGTAGGTTGCCTAGGTCTGTGTCCAGCCAGGGTTTGAATGTCTCCAAGGACAAAGACACCATGACCTCTTTGGGCAACCTGTACCAGTGTTCCGCCACCCTCACAGGACAAAAAGTGTTTTGTTATATTCAGATGGAATTTTATCTGTTTCAGTTTGTGCCTGTTGCTTCTCATTCTGCCAGTGAGCACCACTGAGAAGATGCTGGCTCTGTATATAAAGCTCTGTAGCAGCAGCAGAATACCTGTGAGATGGCTTAAAATTTCCATGGAGAGAATCTCACTTTCTTCTGCAGTATGTAGAACTTGGATGTAATTTAGAGAAATAGCAGTTCACAGTGGATAGTACACAACAAGCTTTGTCCGATTTAAATAAAATCTACAGACCTTTTTTGTAACAGTGAAGCCCTACCATAAACCAAACAGGCCTAGTGCATGGCCATAAGCTCTACCACACAACAGTCCGTACTCTTTATTTAATATCATGCTCTGTTGGACAACTTAGACAAGCAGCACTCCTCCAGGTAGTCTGAGGACAGTTCAGGGAATAGCACCAGACTGTTTCCAATATGCAGTATGAGTGAAACCCCTTGAAGCTCACATATGGCATCTAAATGGCTATATGTGAGAAACATTCTGTCCCTTGCCTTGCAGGGACAGAGACTGGGTGTTGTCCATTTTATTTATCAGCACAGACAGACTCTTAGATGTGTATCATAAGCCAAGGAAGGTCAGAGTCTCATTAGTTATTAATTGCTGTGATTACTTCTAATTAGCACTTGAAACCTGCTGAAATCAAATGGAAATGGATACTGTCACTTACTCCTAAGTAAATTGTACCTTGAATGAGACTGTCCTACTGACAGTGGGGGCCTGGGATTCAGCTTATGATCAATGGTCTACCCTAAGTTCTTTAATGAAATTACTTATGGCAAACGAGTCTCTTCACTTCATAACAAAAGATCTTCATGCATGTAGCTGAAGTCTGCTTGTCACAGCTATGTTAGGTTAGGGGTGTCAGCCCCACTCCTCCCATTTCTGGTTGCTATCAAAGCCAGCAAAATCCTTAGTGTAGATGCTGTAACACTAGTGATAGTTCAGAAAAAAAACCAAACCCTTATTTCTACAGCCAAAAGAAATCTTCCCCTTGCATTTGCAGGGTTTGCTGAGTTAGGTCTCTTGATCCATCCACTGGGAAATGTTATTCAGCGTAAACAAGGCCCAAATTCAAACAGAATAATAAAAGCAATTTACATCTCTCATAAGAAAAAACAGGCTCTTTCATCAAACATACGACTTCTCCTTAACAGTGAAAGATCTTTACGATCACAGAATCACAGAATAGTTTGGGTTAGGAGGGACCTTAAAGATCATCTAGTTCCAACCTCTTGCCATGGGCAGGGGCAGCTTCCACAAGACCAGGCTGCTCAAGGCCCTGTCCAACCTGGCCATCACACATGTCCTACAGCATGTTGCTCTTTCCAGATACGGGATTTTGCTGGGAAGTTGACACAGTTTGTGGGAGTGCTTGCCAGCTGAGCAATACATTCGCTACTGCTCACCACATTCCTTAAACATGCATGTTAATTTATGCTACAGGATGTCTGTATGGAGTTATATGAGGCTATAGTATTTTCCTAGGAACCACAGCAAGGAAGTCAGCATGGGCCATCAGTTTTGTCAGCTGTGCGTGTGCTGTAACCAGAGTTTCTGTTGATAAATAATGTCAACCTTATTAAACATTCATCCTAGAGATGTTTCTGGTGCTCAGAAGTGCTCATAGTTTAAGGTTATCACTGAAAGCCTTTTTCAATACCAAGGAGTTAGTGAGGAAATTGCTCTTATTTAAATTAGAAGAAAACCAAGCATGGATAACATGGGTGTTTTTAGTGCCATATGCAATTAACCTGGTACACCACAAATGACTGACCTCCAGCTGGACTTCAGGTCACTGATGACAACCCTTACAGTACAGAAGTTCAGTCAGTTTTCAGTCCACTTCATGGATTTTTCAGCTAGTCTACATTTCATCAGTTTGTCTACGAAAATGTTATTGGGATTCTGTCAAAAGGCTTGCCAAAGTCAAAATAAACAATATCCACTGCTCCCCTCATCCACTGAACTAGTTATTTCTACACAGAAGGTAATCAGGTTAGCCGAGCATGATTTTTATCTTCGTAAACTCATGCCAACTACTTCCAGTCACATTCTCTTCCTTCATATGCTTGGAAATGCTTTCCAGGATTATTTGTTCCATCCCCTTCCCAGGCACTGAAGTGAGGCTGACTGGCCTGTAGTTACTAAAACTGCATACAGCTTGGCTGAATAACTCTATTCCATAACACAAACAGGTAATATGGGATTGCTGCAGGTGTAAAGAGGAATAGCAAAAATGCATAACAAGGTGATCTTCATTTCTGGTTGTGATAACAATGTGATTCTTCAGAAAGGATACTTAAAAAGGCAGAGTTTATTCAGCAAGAAACTATAGTTTTAATTAGAGAAAATACATCATCTTGAAGTTAAGAAACTGGAGGACTTCAAACTCTGTAAATTTTCCAGAACACAAGAGCTGATCTAAGAGACTCAACTCTTCTGTTAATGTGTACATGTGGAAAAGACTGGATATTAGCAGAGAGAGAAAAATAGCACCATGAGTTCTGTGAGTAGAGGCTAAAAATACCACAAATGAGAAACAGCATGAGGCATGGATTTTCTGGGGCTTACAAGTATCACTGCTAGCCTCCATCTCCTACTCCCCATGACGGCGCTGACCTTTTGAATTCACAGTGCAGCGCAGTGGCTTCTTTCTTTCTTCTCAGCATCACATGCCTGCCATGAGGGCAAAGAGAAGACATGGTGCCAGGCACAGACAGAAGGCATTTGTTTTTTCTCCATTCTCAATACTCTGCTACAGGCATGTCACTTTCACAGACCCATTCTCATCAGTACTCTCTGCTCCTGAACAAAATGTTAATTTATTGCTGAACAGTAAGTGGTGGGAGATGTGGCTATCTGTCTGAACGATAAATTTTAGCAGTTCTGGTATGTTGTTGAAGCCAGTGAAAAAAAAACACACTAAGTGAATGGCTTCTGTTATGCAAATTAGGCTAACTGTAAAGTGTGTTCCACTATAATATTGCTATGGGAAATACCCACAGTCACAAGGCACTCCTGCATCACCTGGAGTTATGAAGCCTTGAGGCTTCCTAGAAACCACATTCAAAACTGCAGGCACTTAAATGCCCTGCCTGATGTCTAAAGCCTGGGCCTCATAATTTGGCGCATTTAATTATCTGGGACACTTGGGCATAGAGGTGTAAAAGAGCTATTCTGGAAGCAGGGTGTTGACCAGACGTGTGCAACTTCCAGATAATGAAGAGAGCACTGCCTCATCCTGCAATGCAGCTGAGGAAGGGAAGCCAGCCACGACCCTCCCGTGCTTCAGTTTCCAGCCACTGACAAGGCTTAGCTCATGTGAATTCCAAAGAAGTCCAAATCTTACAGCCCACTGGCTTCATAATTAATTAGACTTTAAGGCTCAAAACTCCCATGAAAGTCACCTTTGATATTGATCATATTGATCTCTGTGCCAATGTATGTACATGGACCCAGCATGTGTAATCCTGTTGCTATGGTGGTTTTGCGGCTGCATGTTGAACAGTGGCTAGCCATTGAAAACAGATGATATAAAGTCACAAGTCAGGCTCCTCCATGCTATGGAGGGCAAGAAAAAAAACACCTCCCTGTTGCTTCTCTAGATGTACTAAAATAGGACACTGTTGTGTAGAAGCAGTTCCAGGTGGCTGCTGCTGTGGCTGCTCTCCTATGACCAACCAGCTGCACATTTCTCAGCGTTTATAATGCCAAAAACATGTACCAGCCCTTTGCTCTGCAGGCAGGTGGGAACCAGTTCTGACAGTCCCAGGAGCTGGGCAATGATCAGTTGTACCAGAGGATGCTGGTCAAGGAGTGGGCTAGGCTTTGGCTGAGTCGGGTTTCCACCAGAACCCATGAAGACCAAAGGCTGCCCCGTTACATCGTTGGAGGCAGAGTTTGGGGCCGTGCAGCAGCCGCTCTAAAAACGTTGGGGAGCGCCGCCAGCCTCTGTCGGTGAGGCCGCCCCAGGGCCGCCCCTGCTCCGGACGGCGGCTGGTCCGAACCGTCGGTCCTCAACCGTCGCCCGGAGCGGTGAAAAGTGGGGAGAGCGCAAGATGTAAACTCAGCCCCCAGCGACCGCCCGGAGCGCCGGGCTCCCACACGGGGCGGCCGCCCGCTCAGTCACATGGAGTTGCCATTTCCTCTGCCCTTGCTTTGCCCTTAAGGAGGCTGTGCTGCCGGTGGTGCCCGCGCCTCGCTCCTCACGGGCGGCGGCGGAGACGCGCCGTGTCCCCGTTTCCCCCACTCCTCCATTGCCACACACAGAGCGCCCAGCCCGGCTGAGAGGCAGGGGTGGCTGCGGCGGGATAAAGGGCAAGGGGTGGCCGGCTGCCCAGCTAAAAACAACCCTCTCCTCATAAAGCGATGGGGCCTGGGCCGCGCCGCCGCGCTCCCCGAGCCCTATAAATAGGCTTCTTGCGCTGCCCGCGGGCTTTGGCCGGTGCGGCTCTGCAGGCGGCGCGGTGCAGCGGAGAGAGCGCAGCGGGACCGCCGCCACCGCCGCCAGGAGAGCCTCGATCCCCGCACCCCGCCACCCCAGCAAGATGCCCCGGGTAGACGCAGACCTCAAACTGGACTTTAAAGATGTCCTGCTCAGACCTAAAAGAAGCAGCCTCAAAAGCAGATCAGAGGTGGGGGCACTCCAACCCAGCATGCTTTTCCCCGGTCTCAGAGCCTAACTTCCTTAACCCCCCTCCCCCCTGCTTTATTTTTATTCTCCATTCTAACGTAGCTGTGCCCTCCCCGAGCGAAACGCCCTCTCCGTGGCTGGGGGGGATGCCGCCGCCGCTGCTGGGAGGAGGAGGCCAGGGTTGCGGAGCCTGCGGTGTGTGTCGTTTCTCCCCCCCGTCCCCCCGCCCTTTGGAGAGGCGAGCCCCGGCCCCGGCTCTGGAGCCGGTGCCGCACTGTCCTTGCCCCGCTCCTCAGCAAAAATAAAGGGGGGTGGGGGGGGTGGGGGGAAGAGGAGAAGGGCGGATTGTTTGCTCCTGACAGGTGCCTCTGCGGATCTCTGCGGCGCTGAGCGGGGGGTGAGCTCCGGTTTCTAGGGGGCCGCCTGCCGTGGGGGCAGCGGCGAACCGGCAGCTCTGCCAGCCCCCCTCCGGGCCGGGGGGGGGTGTCTGCTTATGCGCCTCGCATCTTGGGCAGGCAAAAGCGGGGGATGCGGAGTGACGGGCAACTTCGCTTTCAGCCCCGGGGGTCTCGGACAGTGCTGTTACAGAGGAACTGGCGTGCTTTTTCTGAAAAATACTGCTAAAAAACAACCAGCGAAAGTGCTGGGGAGTGCTTACCTCGGCACAGCGTACGCCGGGCTGGCATCCCATCAGGAGAAAACGTGGGGGGCGTTTCACACTCATTTGAGTTAACCCCCATGACCTTGCCTCCTTCTGCTGTGTGGGGATATCCCAGCCGTCCCCCTGTCACCAAGGCTGCCTGGGGCTCTGAGTTCCTGTTGGCCCAGGGCCACTGTTAGCTGGGATATTGCTGTAGTTACTTGTGAGCAGGGATCAGGAAAGACCCCAGGAAATCCCCTGAGGATTGCCTCTACAAAAAAAGATGGCTGCCTCGGGATTGAAGGTGCCTTCTCATTTACCTCGCGTAACCCCAAGGTTAGCAAAGGATTTAGCTTGACTAATGAAGGAATTATGTTGTGTTGGGGGATGGAAAGAGGATTAAACTTTTCTCCAGGGGAAGCAGAATTGTGAGAGAGACCGAGACAAATCAGGTGAGGTAAGAAAGACAAGACTGGAAAAGGAAGCAGGATAGTGATGTTTATTACAGGCCTATCGCAAAGGACTTTGAGCGCAACAAGTAAGCAACGCTTTCTGCAGTTACGAAAGTGTTTCCCATTGGAGAGCTCCTCTTGGTAGAAAGGTAATCTCGTAGTTGTTTTTAATTTACAAAGAACGGTGTCCCAGCTGAGTAACTCCTCTCGTTTGGTGCAGTTAACTGCACATAAGGCCTGCAGGCCATTTCTGGCAATTTGCTTGGTCCCTCTTCAAAATTCAGTGTGCTGGCCTGGCAAACAGGTGGGGCTGTGCTCCACCGAGTGACACATGCCTCCTTCAAGTGCAGTGTCCTGTATATTTAGCTGCTTGCAGGCAGTGGAAAGAAGGGCTGCTGGGAAGGGAAAACGATAGGAGGAACACGAGCCGATATGGCAGGGTTGGAACGGGTGCGTATGATGAACTGTTAAACCCTTTTCACATGAGAAAAAGTGCATGTCATGAGGCGAGTCAGTGAAAACCGATGAAGGTTAAGAAATTGGACACCATCACAGAGGCTGTAGCAACAGGAATAAACAGTGTCTGTGAAAGCCAGATCTAAAACGGACAGCCTCAGTCTGCTTCAAAACAAGAATATAAATAAATAGTTCTGGCAGAGGAACAGAGGCAGCAGACTACCGTGCCTGTTACCCGGCAAGCTGCTGCTTTGAACCTTATATCAGCAAGCGTCTGTTTCTCTGGTGTGAATGCCTTGTTTTGTGCAAGGGTAGTTTTTTATGCAGTAACTAGGATTAAGTCAGCTTCATAGAGAGGCGGTTTGGGGTGTTTGCAGCTCTTCTTGAAGGTCTGCCGTGTTTGTTGGTACTTGGTTTTAATTCTTTGTACTGTCTTCATTTTCCATGATCGCTTTCTCTTTTCAAACAGATACCAGAAAATTTGAAGCTTAAATTCAAGTGTCAAAATTGGCTAATGCAATGATTGAAGTTGGAGCAGCATTATCTGTCAGTGGAGTCTTGGTGCTCACGTACCAGCTATGCTTCTTTTTGCTGGACTTGCTGCTGCAGGCTGTCCATTCACCAGACAAGTGTCCTATAGAAAGTCTAGTCATTAATCTAAATTTGTAAATTCAGATAAGTCCAGGGAGCTTTAACAAAGCAGCCAGTACCCTAATACTTTCTTATGTCGAGGATCTAAGTAGGAGTTAGGAAATAAATCTCATTTTTTTCTTTCTGAAGAAACTTCTACTGTTGCTGAGTGATGGTATGAAGTCCTAGAGTCAGAAGTTATTTTCTTGTGATGCATAGAACAGCAAGCTATAAATTAGCTGTTGCTGCTCTGGAAAGAGATGAAGAGATGGCCAAAATTGCATCTAGAGGAACTAAGAAAAACCAGTTAACTTTGTGATGTTCCCCAGTATGTTCGTCTTGAGTACACAGTTCTGATGATCACTAAACAAGAACAGCATAATATGTTAAAATAGGTGCAGAAAATGGCAGCCAGGATGATCAGCAGTATTGACTGCTTTCTACATGAGATAAAAACAGAACATACTAGGACTGTTGAGTAGAAGGAGCAGCTGTAGAGGACATGCTAGAAGTCTGTGAAGTGAGGAGTGGAATGGAATAGGTGAAACTGGCTATTGACTGTCTCTCACAAAACAAGAAGCAGGAAGTACTGAATGTAAAATTATCATGCAAAGGATGTTTTAATGCAACATATGATTCATCTTTGAAATTTATTGCTATGAGATATTGGAGAGGCTAAAGGTGTGAAGGAATGGAAAATTCAGAAGGCAATTTCTTTGTCTATGAGTGGCTATTTATTACAGTGGACTGGGGGAGACCTGTGTCTTTGAAGGTCCCTAAACATCAGCTTCCTGGGACCTGGGAAGGTAGGCTATGGAAAGAGTCTTTCAAAACTTGACTCATTCTTAGGTTCCCTTCCCAGACATCTGGTACTGGCTCTTTGGAGAATGAGGGCACCCCATAAACACCTCCAACCAAGGGTGCCATTTCTCCTGCTCTTACAGAGCAAAAGCCTCATTAGGGGATACTCCACAGTTATCCCTCATAAATGCCTGCTCTTGCAGTATTATCAGTTGTGTTAAAAATTGCACGAAATTCATCTGGACATCTGGCTAAAAGAAATTATTTAAAGGCTAGAGTAAGTGGAGGTAAGAGTCACTAAAAGAGTAATGGCCTTCCATAGCTTTTCATTTTGCTTCACTCCTTTCTTCAGTGTACTCTTTTTCTCTACTTTCTTAAGTCCATTTGAAAGAGAAGTTTTTCCCTTGTAAAAATGTAAAGCAGTGGTTCTGATGCTGTTGTAAAACTGGTTATGTGATACTCTCTTTTTTTCCCCTTGGTTTTAGTTAATAAATAGGATTAAAGTGAAGCAAAACGCATTAAATTTTCATACCTCTTTCATACTTATGTTCTTCATACTATTTTCTCATGCTTGCTGCAGCAAAACTTCTCATACCCACAGTGATGGGTAGAGAATTGGGCTTCTCTGATAGTAAATGGAAAGAAGGATGAGTCTCCATTAAGATGTATCTTAGCGTGTTCACTGAAGTGACCCTTCCCTTAGGAGCTTATATAAAATGAGAACCCATTTCACAGTATATCACTGAGGCACCAACTTCTTTCTCTTACAGATAAGTAATAAACTTCCCCACCATATTAAACAATCATCATGTAGCCTACAGTATGACAGTGTTCAACATATGTTGTAAATAAATAATCAAAGTCTTATATTTTTTATACTGCTTCCTTTCTGGTGGTGCAGTTCAGATCTCTGAATGTTCCTGGATTAAAGCTGAAGTGAGGAGTAATAAAACTATGAAAGAGCCTTCATTTTTGCTGTTACTAAAGAGACTAACCTCACATCTTAACAGTGTGTGTTTCTTAGAGAGTTTTTACCCTCTTTTTGCAAGATGCTAAGTAGACCAGTGGGAACTGATCTAAATTTGATATTACCTCTTGCAAATGTAAGGAACAAAATGCCTGATTGTTTCAGGATGCTGAAGAAGAAATACCTTCAAAGTTAAAGGATGATGTAGTTGTAAGAAATTAACTTAGAAATTAGTAGCTTCATGGTTTTAAAAGCCAGGGTATGATTGGTGATGTTGTATGGCAAGAGTGCTGATAACTGTAGTCAACCTTGCTTACTTCATTATTGTCATTTATATTAGAGATTGGAACAAAGCCCTCTGCTTTCTGGACACAGGGGGAGTTCCAGTTCTGACTTCTGTGGAGCTGGGAATACAACTTGGGCTTTTCAGGCAGCCAAAGAAACAGCTGAGGTTACTTCTGTATAAAATAATCCACAGTCCTCAGTGACCTTTCTTTCCAGTCCCTTCTGACTGTGTGTTCTTTTTTTGCTTGTTTCCTTTTTTTTTTAATTTTTATTCTCTTTTTCTCCAGTGAGAACTCTTTAACACAGAAAACATTATTGTACTTCTGTATTTTCTTGCTTGGAAGGCAAAAGTTGTAGCAAAATAAATGATGTAATAGTAGAATGAAAGGAGGAAGAAGAGGAAATGCAAGGAAAATTAAGAAGCAGTATTTAAACCTGCTGTATCTGAAGTCAGCAGCAAAACTTGTGTTAGATTGGAGTCAGTTTCTTAAAAGAATGTGTGCCTATTCATTGCAGGTCGACCTTACGCGGACCTTCACCTTCCGCAACTCCAAACAGACATATACAGGAATTCCCATTATAGTGGCAAACATGGACACTGTGGGGACATTTGAAATGGCTGTGGTTATGGCAAAAGTAAGTCTTGGTTCTATTTTTGCAACAATTGGGAAGCCACTGGGTGATTGTGAGCAGCCCTTGTTAGTTTTTACCTATGTTTGTCGGTGAGCAGTGGGGCATGAGTTAAAAAATCCAGAACAAGAAGGTGGTGTTTCATTGCAAAGCAACTGTACTTTTACAGCTCCAGATAACAAGATAGTTTTTGGTGGAGATGCTTACCAGGAAGCTTCCATCTTGGGTATAACTCAGCTTCATGTGGAGTTTCTAGAACTTAGTTTTTGAGGTTTGCATTGTGAAAATACAGACCTTCCAGAGAAAAACTATTAACTGACAACATTTTTGAAAGTGGAGGTTACTAGATAGAGCTGCAGCAGTCAGGAGTCATGAGTTAACTAGCCTCTGTCCTCAAGACTCAGATTACTTTCTTGCAGTGCTTAAGCACATTCAAAATATTGGCTATAACTTCATGAAACACATCAGAAACATGATCCCGAAAGGTCAGCTAAGTGTGCTAAGTTACCTTTGAAAAGCTGTTTGGAGTGGCTTTGTCTGTTACTCACTGCTTTTTTTCAAGCAGGAGTAGCCTATACTTAAAATGGGAATTTCTGGTATCTTGTTATTCCACAGCGGAGGGAAAGATGTCTAACTTGGACATTAATATCAGTTTTCTTATTTTTGCTAGCATGCAATGTTCACTGCAATTCACAAGCATTATTCTTTGGAAGAATGGAAACTGTTTGCTGCCAATCACCCAGAATGCCTTGAGGTACATTTTCATACTGCAAATTATTATGGTTTATTGCTTTGTTCTGAACTCACATACACTGGAGTCTCTTGGGAATACTGTCAAATGAAGTTTTCAGGAATGAAGATATTTGCTGTTCTTAGATGCATCAAGGGAAGTGGCTTGTCCTGGTTTAAAAAGAATAGGTATGTGAGTCCATTATAAGTAGCATCTCCCAGTGATTAAATAGTGACTTGCTCTGTGACCTTGGATCTCTGCAGAGGATTTGTGAGCCAGTAGCTGTGGGAACTATTTTTCTATTGGAAAGAACTTACAGGAAGACAAAGGAGGAAGAAATCTGTTTGTTTCAAATGGTAGCTGACCCTGCTTGGGTAAGGGGTTGGACTATGCAGTCTCCAGAGGTCCCTCTTCCAAGCTCAACTGTTCTGTGATTCTGGATTTCAAGGGTGTGTTTGGTGAACTTAAAAGATCCAGATTCCACTCTTGTCAGTGCCACAGATTTTGCCATTTTGCTTTCCTGGAAATATACCAAGTAAGGACTTCTTCTGTGTTTGTGTTAATATGAGTACAGCTGAGCCTTCATTCACCTCAGGTGATCATAGTTGCCTATGAGAACCCTGTTGTGAATTAAGAGCTGATAAAAACGCTAATTTTGCTTTATTTTAGAGCCTTAAAAGGAAACAGAAGTGACATACTAATATTTGCAGAAGGGTATTTATTTTGTAGTATGTAATGTGATTTTCACTAGCTTCCAGCATAAGTTGTCCTAAGACTGTGTAGGTTAAGATACATGAAGTTTGTGTTTATGCCAATTTTGACAAGCGACTACTCCCTTCTGTTCTCCCTGTCTTTCTAGCATGTAGCAGCAAGCTCAGGTAGCGGAAAAGCTGATTTGGACAAGTTAACAAGTATTCTGGAGGCCATTCCACCTATCAGATACATTTGCCTGGATGTGGCAAATGGCTATTCAGAGCATTTTGTGGAGTTCGTGAAGTCTGTCCGTGCCCTGTTCCCACATCACACCATTATGGTAAGCGTGTAGCGAGGGTTGAGGGGGTGTGTGTGAATTCTGTCCAGGAATAGGGCCCACAGTGTGGTTGGTAGGAATCAGCACCTCTGTGGTAGCTCCATCAATCTCTGAGTGCTCATTTAATGAAAGGGAATAGAAGAGAGAAGTAAAAAGAGAAGGAAAGAAAGGTCTGAGTCAAAACACTTCCAGACAAGTGTGTGTGGACAGCTGTATTCAATACCCTTTGAATTCAGCAAGATGTTGACTCTGAGCCAAATGATGGCTGTTTAATAGCATGTTGCCATTGTCAGTTTTCCATTGTTGATAATTTCTGTGGGAATGTTCAGTGTGTGTTCTGATACAGCAGTTTGATGTGGCATGGCAGGCTGGGTGGATTCAAGTTTTTTTTTTACTACTTGCATCCTCCTTCCCACACCAAACATGACTTATAAAGTATATAGGTTTATTTTGGTGATCCAAATCAGAGGTTTGCTGTGGGAATGCATCAACGTTTCTGGACAATAGAGGCCAATGGCCATTTCATCTATAAGATCACTATGAAGGCAGCTGAATGTAGACTAATCTTTGCCTATGGTAAAATTCATAGAGGTGTGAACAGGGCAATTGTGGACAGGGTCATCAGGGAGCAAACCAGTCAATGCTGGGGCTTTTCATGTACCTTCTGTGATGTTACTATCCTTTCTTAGAGTGCTAATGCTGTATTTCCTTCGGCCCTTTTTTGCACTGAGAGTGTAGGATATTTGCATTGACACAGAACTCCTTACAGCAGAACCCTACTGCTCCTGCTTGTTTCCTAGGGCCCTAGGTCTGAATTTGTTCCATGAGAATAGCAGAAATTCTCAAACAAGCGGTAGACTCTTCATGAGATTACCAGCCTTTATTCAAGCAAAAAAAAACCCACAATCATGTGTTTAGGTAACACTTTCTCACTTTTTCATGCCAGACGCACAGCTTCACACATCTAAAGTAAATGTGAAGTAAAAATGGTCATATATGCGTACTCTGACTTAGTTCAATAGGGAACTGCATATTCAGGCAGCTCAGGGAAGAGTGCATTCGTTCCTCGCATGTCAGAGGAAATGTTCTTGCCTCTGAATGATGGTGGCATTGGAGAATGGAAGTGGGCTGGAATGCCTGTGGGGTTCTGGGTTACCATAAGCTAATGAATAGGCATCCTTCAACAGCTACTAGCAGATGTGGGAACCCTTTTGGTATGGCCATATTTTCCATGGCTTTGGGGAGAGCTTTTGGAAACATGAAATGATAGGTGTACGCTTTTTGAGCTTCCAACTTGATGTTCACTGCTAAGGAACAGGAAGGAGCTGTTCCTTTGCCTTCGATCTGAATTATTGTCCTTGGTGACATGATTACCTTAGTGTCTTTGACTTGAAGAGTTGTGGGAGGGAGCTTAAACCACATAGTTAAAAATAATAGATCTTCCAGTCAGAAGTGGAAAGAAAATAGTATGTCACCTCCTTCCCCATCTCCACACAGACTGCTAACTGAGGAGGGAACTCAACCAAGATGAACTGCGCAGAGGCCAACGTCAAAGTCGGGTATCATGCCCAAATTTTAGTCCAAGGTCCTTAACCCAGTTTCATCCACCTCCCACATCTGCTAAGCTACCTGTTTAGTTTCTCCGTTTCTGCGACTAAGGTTATTGCTACTTCAAGTCTATTGTTCTGACGGCACCACCTCCTTGGGTGCATCTACAGCCCTGACCTTTTCAGCTGCCTTCTTTGATTGTAGCTCCTTCCTCTGAATGTGGTTCAGTATGGCTTATGGTTTTTCACGTCCTGAACAGGGATAATTTCTATTCCTAAAAGCATGCTAACAAACTTGGGGTGTTAAAAAACCTTCTGTGTTCCAAAGCCTCCAGAGTCTGTGCCAGTCCCTGAAAGTCTCTGATTCAAGTAGGGACAGACATCTTAACCCCACTTCCAAATGAGTTGATTTTACGCTGTGTGCCAGAATGGTCTTCTGAGGCTATTCCTGGCTGAAATGCAGGCGCTCCTCTAGGCTTCTTTTTATGGTACTCTGGAAGACATGTCCTGCTCCTTCCTGTTCTGTCTGCTTTGATGTTTCTGTGTTATGCCTGCAGTATGTTCTCTGCTGTTGTGGCTTTCAAACAAAAGGATTAGCAGTTAAATAGGTATATAAATAAAGAAGGTTTCTCATAGCTGAAAGTGAGCTCCAGGACCTTGCAGGCTGTCTTGTTTGCTTTCCTCAGCATGACCATTCATTTCACAGTCAGCTGCAGTGCAGTCCATAAGAGTAACCCAACCCTGGGTCTCAGGGAATGTCTGTTCCCAGGGGCCACTTAATGTGTTCAGCTCTGAGACTGAAAGGTGATGACCAAAGCAACTGTGGTTAACGTAGTAATCTCTGTGGCTGGTACTCTAGTGCAGATGGAGGATGTCTCTTGTGTAACAGCCTTTCAAAGGAACGGTTTTGCCTTTTTAAATACTTGCTTTTATTATCACATTACCTCATTTTTCTCCTCCTGGCTTTGACACAAGCTCTTTACACTCCTGCCTTTCGTATTAATTTATAAAGAAGATCAGTTTCTCCAGGGAACACAAAAGATAAGGAAGACAAACAGGGGCACAAAGGTACAACGTGACTTGCCTTAAATCACTTGTTAGATTGAGGATGCAGGAAGAAGTAGTATTCAAGTCTCCTGAGAGTATCACAAATGCAGCACTGTCCTGCAGAATCACGAGTAATGGTCCAGTCGGACGTTCTGTTGTAGCACAGCATCATGTGCTTGTGTTGTGCCTACTTACTAAAGTCTAAAGCAAAACTTCAGTTGACATTCATCATGAAGGATCAGAGACTTAAATTACAGTAAGCATAGTCCTTATTAGTGTAGTTGTAGACACTAGGGTTCTTCCACTTCACTGGAAGTCTGTTTAGCAAGCTAAGACATCTTTGTCAGGAAGCTTTGCCAAGTTTTCATCCTGAATTTCTCTTTTCATAGTTTTCTCTGTTCATTATCCAGACAAAACCCCAGGGAGAGGAATGTGGAGCATGGCAGGAAGGAAAAGGCTGGGGCAGGAGCACACTTGCAGATGCAGTAGCACCTGCGGATGTGAGCCAGAGAGGGAGGCAAGTGGAATCACAAAGCAGGAGCACAGGGAAACAGCATGAGCCAGAAACTGTTGCTCCTCTTGAAGTCAGTAGCAGAGCGTCTCAGGGCCTTAGTAGAGGCAGAATTCAGTCAGAGAAGCCTATGCATACTGCTCCCTGTTTATCTCTGGAGCAAGCAGCAGAGTCAGTGCAGTCATAGTGTGTCCACCAGGGCTGGGGTCTCAGAGCAGGGGCCAGCTGGGATCCCAAGGTGGGAGACAATTAAGATACTGAGGGTCTTTAGGGTCAGTCACAATATTGAGTGCAAACACCCACCTCAGTGTCGCAAAGGGCATCATCTCTCCATCTTACGGTAAATCACCCCTTGCTTTAGTGGGTGGGAAGTGTCCTTTGGCAGTGTTTCTGATAGTGTGGAGGCACAGACTGTGCTTTCCTCTAGGATACAAGAAGAAAGTTTGAGAAATGTTGTCACAGACACTTCTCCCCAGCTTGATCCATTGCCATTTGCCAGCAGATTTCAATCAGTGCAGCAGTGTTGCTGTCTTAGTCAGTGTGAGTCGATATTTATAGCAGGCTTTTATGAGGCACTGTATCAAATGCCTGACTGAAATTCAGAGGCACTGCCCTACTGTGTTCACTAATTTTGTATCTCTGTTAGAGAAGCTGCAGCCTTTATAATCCTGTTAGGTGAAATCTTGATCCCATTAAAGTCAGTAGTGAAACTCTCTTGGACTTTCCTGAGGCCAGGATTTCCCTCAGGGCTGACCCACAGTACACTCATCCTGGACAGTGCTAGAATGAGCCAGGGTGTCACTCACTTGAAACCTCACACTGAACAATGGTACAGTGGGAAGTTGCCCTGAGTGTGTAAGGCCAAGCCCCCAGACAGGGTAATTTGTTGCAGCCCCTGATAACTGACCACACTGAAAGCATGGTAGTTTACCTGACTTTACCTGATCAGTTGTTACTGATAATGTTAAATTTACTGCCAGGGGTACCAAAGTTAGATTAACAGTAAGGTAATCACTGGGTTGTATCAAAAAGTCAGTTTTGCAGCAGATTAGAAATACGTTGATACATGAACTGTAAGATGAGCATGGTTTTCACTAATACAATACTTCTGCCAGTTACTGTGTCTCCTGACTACTTGCCCAAATACACTACAAAATGTATGGTCTGTAGTGGCTTCTTTGTACGAGTTACAATTACTTTACTTAGTTTATATTCTTAGTTAGCTTTAAGGCGTTTTCATCTCTGCAGTCTCAATCTTTCAATGGTCACCTTTTCACATTTTTTTTTAGTTTAAGTATTCTGGCTTTACCATACAGGTGCGGCTTTCAAAAGCCCTTTTGCCTCTATTCAGCTGTCCTACTGTCATCATGGTAAAGCAAGCATTGTTTTCAGTGGAAGTAGAGTTCAGCTGAATGGGAGAAAATGGCTTTCCCTGCTCTTCAGCTGTGATACTAGGGTCTCTTCACATACAGGTAACTGTCACTCTCCTGTAGTGGTGCTTTTTTGTGCTGTCTGAGGTCTGCAAAAGATACTGGAAGAAGCATGCCTGTTGTTGGCAGGTTGAAGTTTGCTATGTAGAGCTCCATTTCTTCCCTGAAAATTTGTTAAGGATCTGCAGATTCAGAAAGACAGAAACCACCTATGCGTGTACACACATTCCAAGAAAAAATGTATGCTGGGGACATAAGGGCTTTTTCCTGCTAGGATGATCATTTTAAATCAACAATATGGAGTTACAACCTCTCTAGCAGTAACTTAGCGTTAAATGTCTAGTTAGCATTTCTGAAGAGACAGTTTGACAGCCCACTGTGCTCTGCTAATAAGAAACACTGCTGTTTTAAGTTAGGTAAGTATTTGATCCCAAATCTCATGGAGCCACTGACTTTAATACCTATCCATTTCTCATCCTGAATTTGTTGCATGTACTCCAGTATTTCACCAAGTTTGAATGTGCTGCATGTTATACTGCATAGGGAGTCATCCATCTTCCAGATGTAAATCGCTTCTTTAGCGTTGTAAGTAGTGTGTTCTCTGTCACCCCACCTTGGAGTGCACAACACTTAATATAACAAATTACCACTGAGCAGAAAGGAAGCAGCACTTAGCTGGAAACAATGTAGCTATTATGTATTCCTTATTTCCTGTCTGTTCTATTTTCTTTCATTTTATTTTTAATCAATATTGTGCAGTTTTGAGCAAAGTTAAGTGGTCCTGTGTCATAGACCACAGATTCCTGCCTGACAGCATCACTGTTTTTATAAGTGCTTCAGATGGTGGGTTGTCAGCTGTTTCAGGCTAATAAAAGGGGGAAGTAAAATTCAGTAAAAACAAATAAATGGTGAAATAAGAGCCAAAAATCAGTGAGGGGAGAATAGGTCTTACCCATATTCCCTGAGTAGCTCCTATTGAATTCAGCAGTTTTGTTTCAATAAAAACTTAGAAAATACAAAGTAAGGATTTTAGGGTCTGCTTCCTGCTCTTCCTGTATCAGTACTGCTACAAACACTTGCTCTGTCCTGGAATATCATTACGTAAGAGTTTTTCTGAGCATCTCTCGAGACCAAATTCAAATCTCCACAGCAGATGGGCCTGCACATGGGGGGCCATGTCACCCCCATGTCAAGAGTGTCACCACCTGGCAGTGCAGCAGACACAATGCTCTGGGGCAGGATAAGGGGGGCATCTTCTTGTCAGGACAGCCTTCCTCTGCAGCATTAAGCATGACCACTTGTCAGGGCAGGGTTGCATAGTCTGAATATGCATACCAGTTTTGCCACCAGTGTACAAAATGGCAAGAATAGTACCTTGTTACTCTTTCAGTAATCAAAATACTGAATCCTAAAGGAAATAGAGATTTGACAGGGTTTAAAATAAGATCAGAGCATTTTCTCACTAAGTAAGGTAGAGAAATGGTATTTAGGCTATCGGCTGTTCAGGAGGGATAGGCAGGACAGGAGAGGTAGGGGAGTTGTACTGTGTAAGGGAGAAGTTTGGCTGTATAGCCCTTACAGTTAGGAATGGTGTGGTTGAGAGCCTCTCTGTGAGGATTAGGGAGATGGAAGATAAAGCAGATACACTGATGGTATCTTAAGAATCAGGGTTAACTGAACCAATCATGAAATCTGTTTGACTTGAAAATGTACCTGTATGATTTGTTTAACCTCTCTGGCATGCACAGTGAACAAACAGTATGGTGAATGATATTCTTTCTGACTTTACATAATTCTCTACATTATCATCATTAGTCTTTTCTGCAGTAGTCTTGAAATCTGCCATGTATGTGATACTGTTCCTTCTGTCTAGGCAGGCAATGTGGTGACAGGAGAGATGGTAGAAGAGCTTATTCTTTCTGGAGCAGATATTATTAAAGTGGGTATCGGACCAGGTAAGTCAAATCCAGTCATAGAATTATAGAATAGCTAGGGTTGGAAAGGACCATAGGAACATCTAGGTCCAACCCCTCTGCCATGAGCAAGGATTTCTCACACGAGACCAAGTCGTCCAAGGTCCTCTCCAGCCTGGCCTTGAACACTACCAGGGATAGAGTGTTTACCACTTCTTTGGGCAACCCATTCCAGTGCCTCACCACCCTCACAGTAAAGAGCTTCTTCCTTATATCTAATGTGAAATTCCCTTGTTTAAGTTTAAACCCATTACTTCTTTTTCTATCACTACAGTCCCTGATGAAGAGTCCTCTGGCATCCTTTTAGCCCCCCTTGAGATACTGGGAGACTGCTATGAGGTCACTATGCAGCTTCTTTTCTCCAGGCTGAACAGCCCCACTTTCCTCAGCCTGTCCTTGTATGGGAGGTGCTCTAGCCACCATATAATCCTCATGACCCCCTGTTACCACTATTACAAGGAGTTGTCTAGATGGAACCAGTGTATAATGCTCTTTGCTTGCCCATTAGGATGCTTAGACCCAGTTGGGTCAGTAACTAACAGGGCTTTTGCACATAACATGTTTAAGATATACATGAACAGCATACTAGTGATCTGTACTGCAAAGGGTTACTTATTGCATTTTCTGGCAGTGTAGATGCCTGCTATTGGAAGCACTGAATTGCCTGGGATGCTGACGTTATAATTCATTATGTGTTGTGTTTAGGAACTCTTTTTCTAGCCTGTTGAAAAGAGGCTGAGTCATCCCATCAAAAGCTCAAAGGATACTCTGTTCAGGTATCCACTTCTATCAAGAAAAGATAAAAAGAAAAGAGTTTCTGAATAGCTCTATGATTTGTGTTCTGTTAAGCTGAGGTTGCCCATCTTGTCAATGCCTTCATCAGTTCAAAAGATGAAAGGGTATTAATTGTGAAGTATGGATGACATTGCCTCTACCTATTACTATTGCCTGAGAGCTAAAGCTTACATTAATGTACCTATCACTGCAACATTCCCATGGGTAAATGGGAGGACGCTAAACTTCTTGGTTTTCCTACCTTCCCTTCCCTAATATTGTTGTGTGGCATATACTGCCATATTGTCTTCCCTTTTTTAATTTCCCTCCCTTGTGCATTTCTTCATGTGCTTCTTCCTCTTGCAGTTTTCTTCTTGAACTGCAGCTGAAGTCACCATATGTGGGCTAGATTTTAAACTGGCTAACACAAGTGCCACTTACAGAATAGCTGTGATCAGCCAGTGCAGTGCAGGCAGATTGCTTACTTTACAGTGCCAAATGGTTATGGTCCATGAATTGATAATTTGAGCAGAGCAAATATAATAAAGGTTGCAGTTGTGCCCAGGAAGACAGCAGAAAATGTATACTGGAAAATCCATGAAGAATGAACAGCAGAGTTGTCAATTGTCATAGGCAAGTTCAGATGTGAAAGGAGAATTATTGTAGCTTGTAGCCTCAAAGTGGAAACAGTTAGAAGTGCTGTATACCCCTCCCTGGAGATCTTCTTGAACAGATCTGTACAGGTTGACCACCCAAAATAAGTAACAAATGTTCCTCACAGGAGATCAGATTTTGACCTCTTTTCCAGATAATGGTCCATCCTGTGGAAAGTGGCAGTGATTTATTCTAAAGCATTGCGTATATAAGTACATAACCCTGTGGAGATTATTTTAAAACTAATTTTCATCCTTCTTTGCAGAAATACTTCTCAGTGTTTTCATATTGTCAGTTTTTTGAAAAATCTTTGGAAATTTACTTTACTGGTAGCTCAGGTATACATGGAGCTGGGTGAAGGGATGGATTTCACTGCATTTGGTTTAGAATCTGTTCTGGAATTCTTGTTTTCATTCAGACCTTTATGGTCCTAAATTGTAAGACCCATACAGGCAAAAAGCAGTTCTCATTTTGACTCCTAATTTGAGGAGAAAAATAGAGAAGGTATTCCAGAAGACATATAGCCATGTTACCGTGTTGAATCATAATTGGAATGGGTTTCTTATATATATGTATATAGTTTATTTTTATATATACATGCATCGTGTATGTGTATAAAAATATAGTTTAATCAATTGTAATTAGTATATTTCCTGTAATATTACACTATATAGGTTTTGGATGATTACTTATCTCACTTTTTAAATGCTGTATGCTTTTTTTCATATTCACAACTACTGTGATCAACCAAATATTTCTGCTTAAGTATTAGGCAAAAAGATGGGTTCCTCTCCCTTGTGCAAAATCATCACAGAAAAGAAAATAAACACACAGGTTTCCCCTGAGAATTATTTTTTAAAACATACATAGAAAGGAGGTATAAATGTTTATTGGAAGAAATATTCAGGTATTAAATGCTGCTACTTAGTCTCAGGCGTGTGACTCTGGTCCTTTTGTCCCCTTTCTGTTAATGGACCTTATTCAGATTTGATTTCTTGTGATGCATGATCCCCTCAGTAAGAAGCATTACGCATAAGACCTACACTGGGAACCATGTCCCTGGGGCAGAAAGGGGGTATATTAAGTCACCTTAATTACAGCTCCCATGAAGCAGTGTGATAACATTTCAAACCTGAAAGTTCCTGTGTGTTCCTTTTATCCATGAGAAGCCAACACTGGCAGTAGAGACTTATTGAGGGGGAAAATACTACAGATAGAAACACATTTTTTCCACAAGAAAAATAAGATGTATCTTTTCAGTCAGCCTTATGGGCAATGTTTTTAACTCTCATTTTCTTGTCTAGGTTCTGTGTGTACCACTCGGATTAAGACGGGGGTGGGCTATCCACAGCTAAGTGCTGTTATTGAGTGTGCTGACTCGGCACATGGCTTGAAAGGACATATCATATCTGTAAGTAAATACCATCTACTCTCAGATTCCTACTGTGCACTGTTGTGGAGCAGGAGGATCAAACAGTCCAATACTCTGCATGTTAAAGTCTGTCCTGTCATCTCTGGTTGACCTCTATACTAGCTCCTTGGGTAGTCAGTAGAGATGTAAATGTAAAGAAACCAGCTCCCTTTAATTTTTAAAAAGACTTGAGCTCCTGACTCCTGTTCGTGCTTTTGGAAAGCTGCTTCTTGCTCCCTGAATGGAGTAAGCTGTTAAGTGAGTAGAATGGGAAGCTTGGTAGTGTTTTCAAATGGAAGCAAACAGTCATTCCTACAAAATATTTCTGAAAAATGAGTGCAGTGTAAACATGGCTTTCCCCAGGGAGTGGAACTGAGAGATAGGCAAGGAGTAGAGGGGAGTACAAGGTAAAACTATTGTTTTATGAGCCCATCTGTGCCCAATTTGAGCCCATCTGTGCCCTAGTAGCTAGATTGATTCAGATAGCATCCTCACAGAGCTCTCTGTGCAGGGGCAGGAGTGTTTCAGGGGTGGCTTTTTTGAGCATGGCTGGCACTTCAGCAACTTAGGTTTTCGCAAAGCTCAGGGGAAATACTGGGCCTGTGGAGGAAAAAAGAGCATGTCTTTATTGCCTGCTAATGGCAGCTTCTGTTCTACCGGCAAGACCAGATTCACCTCGCACAAAAAAAGTAAATCTGTAAGCACGATCTCAGACCTGGCTAGACTGCAGCCTACAGCATCCCAACAGGTAGCAAAAAAGGCATAGGGCCTAACCAGCGTGCTGTGCTCACATATACCCTCACAGCCAACAGTTTCCCTCTGTGGCCTTTGAAAAGACCACACACTGAATTTTAGATGTACCGCCAAATGGAATCACTGGAAGGCCCTAATTTGTTTAACCCAGTTGTGACTAGTATCCATGTGAGGAAGGGGGTGTATTATGTTGTTGAGGAAGGAGGGGAGAGGAGAGCAAATTGACTGGGGATGGGCAAAGGGCTTCAGTGTATTGCTTGGAGCTGTGGGTGCAATGAAGCAGGAAAAAAAGTATGTGTTACAGATGGATCTCTTACTCTTTATTGTTAATGCATATGCATTCCCTTCTTTCCGTGGGTCCCCTATATGAATTTTGCAGAAAAAAAAAAAGCAGTCTGTGATTCTATGACTTGGTCAGTATTACAAATGTGTGTGCAGAATATGTGTGCAATAAAGCATGAAAGACTCATTACTGTGAAGGCTTGATAACTATAGGTGTCATCCTAGCAGTAGTGTTTAGAGACCCATTCTAGTTTTGCAATAATCATTTTCTGCTAACAACCCTCTGAAGAATGTTATTATCCTGATTTTACAGTAAAATGGGGAGTATGTACTTAGTCTGGAAAATGAGACAGTTATGTACTATTCTCCTCTCCTTTCCTGTCTTGGGGATGGATCAACTCCTGACCTGCTTAGGTCACGTTGGCTTCAGAGACCCCAGACCTATCAACCCCCTAGCCGTTACAGGGTGAGTACAGGAGGGCAATTTAGTATCTGCTACAACATCTGGGCCAAGAAAATTACCTTCAGTTGTAACTGAGGTCGCTATCACCACTGCAGCTCAACTATCACCCAAGCTGAGGACACTAAAGCAAGGGCGAGCATATTATGCCTAAATTCTGCAGCATTCAGGTAGATATTGGTGTGTTTATTGGGTAAAGAAGGCTGAACTGCACGGTCAAGCAAGAGTTCTGGCAAGAATATCAGAAAGGTATCCTCCTGTGGGAAAAACACCATATGAGAGCAAGTCTATACATACAATTGGGTATAGTGGCAACAAGTATACATGGCATCCCTCAGAATGTCTCACTACTGTCATTACAGAGATTCAGGAAGGGCACATTCTGCCTCAGCCAAAGGAAACCACTACAAGCAGAGTACTACCACCACTATCTATGTTAGTTTGGCAGTTTTTTTGTTATATTAATATGGAAGTAGAAGGAAGGATGTGCAAAGATTCAAAGCCTACCAGCTTATCTTCATGTAGATTGTAGTTGATGGTGTGGTACAGGTTAGTCCCTTGGGGCACTTTCTTGCACCCACTTTTGTCTTGTCCTGTACATTCATCAAATTGCTCCTCTTTCTTGTCTTGTTGGCTCAGTTTACCTGAGAAGGGAAAGAAGCCCCACTCGTAGAATGAGGTGATGATGATGAACACAGTACTGTGAGGAACACAGCATACTAAAAACCCAGCAGTAGCTAGAAAACCCAGCAGAAACTAGAGCAGTAGCTCTGCTAGGATGGCAGCACAAATTGGGATTTCAAATGTTTGTATTACTAATCATGTATGAGTTTGGGGGCTGATATGTGGCAAAGAAGGTGACAATTTTTAGGCAAACATGATAGTCCAAGCGAACGCCTGGTGTCTCTCTAGAGTCACAGAGAGAAGGGGGAGGTGAAATTGCACCAAGTGCTTTCCTAATGCTAAATTATCTTTAAGACTCAAAGTTCACCTCAGAAATGAATCTTTCATGACTCACTGAAAGAAGAGAGGAAACTCTGTCTAAGATACAGGCACTGCTTCTGTCCCGTGCTATTTGTCTGGGAGCCAATAGTCTCAATTTTCATTCTCGCTAATCCACTGGCCTTGAGAAAGTGCAGCAGTGAGTTACAGTGGAGGGGCTATTTAGCAGGAGTGCTCCTTCAGAAGCACCCTACATGAGATAAAGTTTCGTTTTCTTGTAGGTCAGAGAACTACTCTGCTGGATAGAGAGGCAGTCACGTATTCTAGTAAGCTAGCAATGTGGGGAATGGAAAACAGTGTTGCATCTGTCCTATTTCGTTTGTCTATCATTTGATAGGGATCCATGTTTCCCCTTCACCCTGCCTGGGTGATAGGCTACCAGCATTCAGTAAAAAGGATGACTAAGGGGTTCTTCACCCTGCTACTGCCATACCATCTCTTCCTCCACACAGAACACCATCAACACAGAAATATTCCCAGTATATGTAGTTCAGAATAAAGCATTATTGTGTTGTTTCTGCTGTTGTATATGCCACATACTTTACATATCTTCTGCATAATAAACAGCTATCTGTTTTCTGATACTATAGGAAGGCCTGGTTATACAGTTTATTATAAAGGTTGCTTGAAACATGTAAATCATAGTTAGAAGCTTATTATAAGTCACATATAATATTTAATATTCAAACCAGTTCATACTGGTTTTCTGTAGAGTATTTATTTTCCTCAGGTGAAATTTTGTTGTTGTAAAATGGTTTATATGTTCAGAGAACAAGACTGGGGAAAGTAACATTATTTTAGCCACATTAAAGTAATTCTTTTGACTGGAAACCTGTTTTTCCCTCTCCTTCAGCTTAGCACACACTTGTCTCAGAATCATGCCCTCTACAGGCCCCCAGCCAGCCTTTCCAGAAGGCTTACTTCAGAGTAATGCCAGTGCTCCTGAATTCACAGGGGAATTTGTACAACTACACTTCCCCAGGGGCTCTGAGGTAGAGACTGAGCCTGCAACAAACTCTGTGACTGAAGCCCAGCAGTTGTACAAGTCATTTTGAATCCAGAGTCAGGCCCCTATTGAGACAAGCTGAGCTGCAAGGCGAAGCTTCCCAATGCAGCAGAAGCACAGTCTTATTGTCTAAACAGAGTGTTTGATTTTTCACATGGAAAGAAGTGGTTTAATGCATATAGCTTCTTCTGGCATAACTGCTTAGTTTGTCCCCTTTTTGTTTCCCTTTCTGGGAATCATTAAATTTACCTGCTTATGTGAAGTAAGTAGAGACATCTACAGATAAAGAAGTGATGTGAATCATCATCATTATTGGCTCCTTTTATCTTAAATGGTAACTGATGAGCTTTTGGGAAAGTCTCTTAACAGGCTCAGCATTTGTAATTTGGTGACATTCAAAGTGCTGTTTTTTGAAGCCAATGATTAATGATTACACACAAAGGCCCCCATCCCCATAGTACTTCTGAAAGCATAAAGCCTCCATCAGTGTCACCACTGGGTTAATTATAAAAGTCAGACATTGAGCCACCCAGCAAGAACAGACTGAAACCCATCTACCAGAGAGCATTCATAGCCAGCCTGTCTCAGTCAGACAGTAAGAGTCACACAAACACCTGACACTATCCTTTGAAAATTATTAGACCTCTCTTTCTATCTCAGCTCTTCCTTCCCTGACACATGCACACACACTAACACCCTCCTCCAGGCTCTGACAAACTTGTCAGAGGGAAAGAATTGCACAAGCCGAGCCCTTGACAGGAGAGAGATTCAGCTGTCAGCCCAGCACTCCTTTCTGGAGCTGACAGCAAGAATTTCTAGCTCAACAAAAGAAATAATGTGCTAGAGGTTATCAACAAATGGAATAGAAGTCTTTTAAGTTCTACTGTGTGCTGTTTGCAGTGGGATGCCCTTTGAAAAGTCACTCAGGTTTGGATCCACCTGCTCAGTTTGTGTCTGAATCCTTCTCTGCACCCAGGGAGGTTCTAATGCTCGGCTCTACTGCCAGCCACCCAAGAAAGCTCTAAAATGGCTGATGGTGGAGGTGTATGGCTGTGCCCACCCACAGGTCATACACAGGCGTGTTTCTGCCAACAGGGAGGCGAAACAAAATGAGGTAACTGTAGAGTCTGAGGAGTAGCTTCAAAAGCAGGAAAGCTGTTGGCAGTCTGCAACAGGCGCTGATCATTAAAGGAATGGGGAGCTCTCTTGGTATAATGGCAATGTAGGGTAGAAGGATCTTTCATCCAATGCTCAGACCTTTACAAACCCTAAAGAACTGTAGTACATGATGAGCTGTGCTGTGTGCCATTCCTCTTTTTACAGGCCTGTCACACATACGTAACTTCCCTCCCCTCAACTGAAACCCCCTCATCAGCTACTTTGCTCTGCACTGAAACTGAAACACGTAGGTCTAAAATGCTAAAGATCGCCAAGTTCTGTCGTTTCTTTACCAAGCCTGTAGCAAAAAGTGAGGTGTCTGATGAGAGATTCATTTTCACTTACCAAAGGTTAGATTTCCCAATTTGCTTAGAGATTATCAGATCAAAATCTAACATAGCTGGTGGTATATTTCTTCACCCTTCCCCCTGTGACCTTTTAATGTATTGTAAACTGCTGAGAAAGGTGTTTTAAACGTATGTGGTGGTTTAAGGTAGGGGTTAGTGGTACCTCTGCATCACACAACCTTTCATTAAAATGGCAGAGAATGATTTAGGAAAAGACAGGAATTTTGAATTGCTGCTGTTACTAGTGGTGGACTATGCGGTAGAGTAAATGGGCCTAAAGAAGGAAAGCAAGGGAAAGGATCATGGATTCTCTGAAAGCTCAGCTAAGATGATGGATGTATAGCAGTGGTGCTCAGTCAGCTCTTGACACGCTGTTCCTCAGCAGCGACTGTTCTGCTGCAGGTTGCAGGGTGACAGTGCTCACCTGGGTCCCCGAGTGAGGTCACTGCCACTCACTGTCATGTGTTCTCTCGCAGGATGGAGGATGCAGCTGCCCAGGAGATGTCGCCAAAGCGTTTGGTAAGGACAGCGCATAGTGCCACCCATTACACCCGGCATGTCTCCAGCAGCTTCAGCAATGTTGCAGGAGTCCATTCCACCCTAAATGTGTAACCAGTAGTAAGTTAGATTTGTCCCTGTGGGTGACTCCAGTGAAATTGGTACATCAGACGTGAATTTGGTCTTTGGGCCAGACAGTCCAAATTCTGCAGCGCAAAACATACAGTGGTCGAAGTCCTATTTAGAAACAATCTGCCAGGTGTGCACAAGATACAGCACTGGGACAGTAATGCAAAGAAAACTGATAAGGGCTTCTTCTGAGTAGGGTTCAAAGACGCCTGTAACATTGCCAGATTGGACTGGCTTGATCCTTGAATGGACAAAAAGCTGGTGGAATGTGTGTTGGACACAAGAACAAAACAAAAAGGCAGGGCAGATCCCTGGAGATGTTCTTGGGATCAGTTGTCCAGTCGAAAAGATGAAATTTTATTTATGCTGTATCCCCTAGAGTTGAGATGTCTAAAATATCTAAGTTAATAATTAACGGATTTTGCTCTCATGCCAATAGCTTCAGTGAATTGCACCAGCTCTTGCTAATAGAATAGAGAATTTAATCTGTGAGTGGTTTCTTTTGGGCATGAAAGTTACATGAGTGGGGGGGAGTCAAGGTCAGGATTGTCACTTAGTCATAACCTTGTTGCAGTAACATATGTGAAACAGGTGCTACATGCATCCTGGGCTGACAGGATATTTAAAGACAGTCCCCAGTTCCTAAAATGCCAGACCCTTTGGAGATGTTACAGTGGGGTAATACCTGGAACACAGCAGGACAGCACAGTCTCTCATTGAGATTTCAGATCATTGAAATAATTGGATATGATACAAGAGAGAGTACATTATGATACAGCATGTCTGCTTGGCCGGAAGCTTTGCAAATATGAGAAGCAGGGGCAAGCCTAAACTCGGGTTGCAGACCTACCAAGAAAAATGCTGGGCCTTCTGGAAAGGTTGAAACCAAAATCTAAGTTTGCAGACAGCTTCTGTTTTTAGACAGGTCAGATGACAGGGAAGTCTTAAATAGAAAAAAATTAAGCACAGCCACGGAGTGATTGCTACCAGTGATGGATCTGCTCTGTCACAGGATTTCACATCACCTTCATGTTACTCAGTGGGTGACGTGACGTAGGGAATAGATACTCGCAGTTGGGTGATTTCTGACATAGCTGAACAGCAGCATCCACCCTTTCTGACAACAAGATTGCATTAGAAAAACACTCAGCCTCTCCTCAGCCCAGCTCACTCTGACATTATGCCGCCTGCAATGAGGCCTTTATTCTGCCTGACTTTCTCTGGCTCCGCAGCTTGCCTGGTTCTTGCTAGTGGTGGTGTCACTGGAAGCTTGTGAACTGAGATTTTGACCTCACTGCATTCCCAGCTGCCTGCACAGGAACATGGCCCATGTTCCTGTCTTTTCTTCAACAAGAGCATTTCCAGAAGTTAGAACAACGGGAAGCAACTTCAGATTGTTTAATTTTTTTTTTTCCTTTGTGATGTTTATAGCAAGTCTGAAGGGTCCCTGTAGTCTTTTTGGGCTAACTGAATAGAAACTTGCTTGAAACCTGTGAAAGGGTAGATTCTGGGCCCTGCTGATTGTCAGGAGGTGCTGGGATTCACAGTGGCATATGTTTGAAGGCTACCACAGGCTGTCCCTGGACAGAGGAGCATCAGAAATCTGAGATTATACAGGCAGTAGTTCTATTCTGACAGTAGGGCAGACGAATCAGTGTGACTTGTGTGTCACAGGTACAAGGCTTGAACTGATAAAGATTATCCTGAGGCAATAAGTTTACTAATATGGTTATATATAATTGAGGTAGACACATTGTGGACATCTGACTAGCTGGAGATAGGTGTACATTTGTCAAAGGTGGGTGGCAAAATAAGTTTCTAGATAATGTTACTACTTTTTTTATTGGTTACGTGAGCCACGTAGAAGGTAGCCTTATTGCCCAGCATTTACAGGCCAAAGCTTTAACACTGATACTGAATTGTGTAGCACAGACCTCTGTGCTTGCTGAGAGCCTCTTGCAGGGAGGAGTTACATAAATATATTGGATAGCAGAGACCAGGTGATAAAACAATTTCACTTGGGAATGGGAGCCTGGACAAAGCATGGACAAGAGACCGAAAGAGGACTTTGGGTTAAAGTGATTATACTGTCTCTTTTTAGTGGATCATTGTAAAGTCTTCATGAAAGAGATGTTGAGATGTTCATTATAAAGGAGTGACAAAGCAGCCATTCGAATAATAAAAAGTATAAGGGAGTCCAAGATGTGTAGACTGGCATTGGAAGATGGATGAAGATGTGACTGGAGGAGCCAAGTTCATGGGAAAAGGAGAAGTAGGGTAGTAGGGTGGAGTGCAGATGAAGAGCTGTGACGAATCATGAAGAAGTTGCTGAGAAGCTTTACAAGTAGAAGATTGACTGGGCTCAGGAGTCAGAGGCAGATTGGGCATTTTGACAGAGGAAACCAAGGTAGAAGCCTATTTTAAAAGGCAGGGAACAGAGAAGCACTGAAGGTGGGAAACAAAAATGCCAGGAGTGACAGATATTTTTGAAGGGACTGCTGGAATTCTGGAACTGCTGGTGGGAACCTGGTGTGGATTTGGGAAACCGAAGATGTTGCTGCCATCTGGGTATTGGAGATGATAATGGAAAAGAAGTAGGTTGATGAGGGAGAAAAAAGGTGTTCTGATGCAGGAACAAGAGAAAGCATGGAACAACTTTGTTTGGGGCTCTTGCCTCACATAGCTACACCCTTGCAAAGGCTGATAACACATCTCTCAGAATGCCCCAGGGAGGCACTACTGTCTCCCTTTTTAAAGATGAGAAGTTGAAGCATAGAAATTCTAAGTTCAATTGCCTGAGGTCACATATATTTTTGTGACACAGCCAGGAACAGAATGTGCCTTTTGAATCCTACGCCAGCATCTTTAACACAATACTGCTGTTCCTTACAGCAGTGGTGAGAAGAGATACAGGCGCGGGGAAGGAAAAGGAATGAAAAAGCACATAGAAAAGTCAATTGGGGACATATACTGGTTCTGAAATATACCTGACAGATCATACTGCCTTTTTTGTTGTTGTTTTCATTAGCTGTGTGTGTATACCTACTGTTGTAAAGGCTTGCTGGCTCAGCTGGAGCACAGGTGAACGTTGATTCCAGGGTCAGCTGTGGTCCAGGGAAACCTACACTGCATCTGTCTGGAGGGCTGCCCAGGACACAGATCAAGGCTGACTCCAGCTGAATTTGTGCAGAGCCAAGCTGGTTATCACTAACTTCTATTATCAGGCGTACAAAAGACATCTCAGGGACTCCATCCAGATCCAGCAGAACTGTGTGAGTGCTGGCGTCAGCACACATATTCTGTAATGGCTTGAAAGAGAAGGCACTGTGAAATGTGAATGAGCAAAATCAGGTTAGATACAGTGTAGGCATCAAAGGGAAAGACAGTGCATTGAAGTGGCATTGTGTAGAAAGAGGACAAGTCTAGCAAACTCTGGGCAAGCTGATGCTTTGTATGCAGTGTACTCCATCACGTCCTGTATTATCTAGGGATTTGTTGCCAGGTGTTCCCAGTCCCCACAACCTAAAATAAAGGAACACTGTCTGTCTGTACTTGAAAGACTGCAGCCGGGTGTCACAAACATGCCTACATCTTCTGGTCGTACAAAAAACTATGCAAAAGAAAGAACACGCTATGAAAACCAGCTTCCTGGTTGGATGTTAACTGATAGAAAAATAGTGGAACAGACTTGAAACTTTCAGACATCTTTGTAATACTGAAGCAGGGTGGAAGGTTCTGAAGGGCATATTTAATATGGGGTTGTTATTCCTGTAGCTGCAGGGCAATAAGCATGTGTCATTCCAATGTTTACATGTGCTGTGTCTGCTGTGACATAGCTCCTTTCATCTGGAAGAGCTTGATGAATTACGTTGTAGTTTTTGAATTACTCAAGTCGAATGAGTTTCAATCCTGTAATTCAAGCTTACTTGCTTTTGTCCCAAAATACACAGTCAAAAGGAAAATAATAGATACTGAAGTGCACAGGAACAAAAATTCTGTGATTCTGAAGTGTAGATTTCATGTGACTGTTTTGCATTAATAATTTGGAGACCCACAGCCAGAGACAGGATTAAGACTGGAGGTCAGGGGATAGTATGAACAAGGCAAAGAGTCCAGAGTGTCCTTTGGCAGGCCTTTGACTTGTTTTAAATGCCCTCTTTGAAAACTTGGTCCCAGATCCATCCCTTCTTCCTCACGTTGTTTTCTTCTACCCCTGAAGAAGACATCAGCTAGATTTCCAAGGGTACTTATTTTTTTGCAAAGGTAAAGCAAGATTGTGCCAGGTAACAACAGGAGCTCCCTACCAGTAATTGAGAATGTCTTAAACGATGAACATTCCCTTCGTTTTTGGCAGGTTAATAGTAGTATCAGATGTGAGTCAAACTGAGGCTGTAAAACTCAGCCATCTGAAACAAGAGAGCTCAGGAAAAATCTGCCAGGTAGTTGGCATGATTGGACACCTGAATGGGTGCCTGGCTATAAATACTGCTTGTGATGTGCTCAGCAGTTTTGCACCAGCCTCATTTTTAGTATCGCTTTACCATGGACATACTGTTCATTTCAAACAATGACCAGGCAAAGGGAGGTGAAGTCAGCAGAGCAGCTGGGTGCTCTGCCCCCAGGCATTGCTGCTAGGTCTGCTCCTTGGCAAAGAGGTGGAGGGAGGAAACTGGCACACTACATGGTTGTCATGTACTCTAAGATCAAAATTTTCCCAAATTCAGGTTTTTCTACAGAGCTTTTAAACAGATGGCAGAAGGAGAGCAGAGTCGATAATGATCTCACTCTTCAGATTTCAAGGCCCAGTGCTATTGTTTGGGTAGTGAGAGAGTTCAGAGCCTAATGCTAGACTTACCTAGACTGGGATCTCCCCAGAGTTCAGATATGTTCATAATGGGGTGGGGTCAGGCTCATCTGCTTTCTATGATGGGAGATTCATAGCGATGTTCTTTCGCCAGTTCTGGGAAGAAGCTGAACAGAGGGGAGGCCTGTTCTGACACAAACACATTGAAGAAGCAGAGTCTGAACAGGAAAATGCTTTGTTTTAGGGATGGGTCACCACAGGCTCAAAAAAGAGCAGAAGCCAAACTTTTCCAAGCAAGACTAGATATGCCAGATTATCACAGAAGGAGCTGCTGGTGGAGTAGTTCCAGCCCAGCTGGAAATATTGGAAATCACAGTAGAAAATCAAGAGTGATTCCAAAAAACTTCTTCCTGATCTTACTCCCAGTGGAGCTGATTTCATGATTTGCAAGCTGGGGAGACGGACAGACTGAGCAGGCACAACTTGAGTATTCAGTTTGTTGTTCTGTATCTGGAACATATTTAGGAGTTGTAGCTATGGGTTAGAACTCCTCTGTGGTGTATGCTGAAAACCACAGAACCCAGGGGTGGTAGTCCTTGCCCAGATTTTTTAAAGAACAGGAACCAAATGCAGACCCATCCAGATCTCTTTCATAAGGGATCACCCAGACCTACACTGAACATGACTGATGGACTTGAAAACCCCATATTTTAATTTAAAAATCTGCCTGTTTTATGTTGGAAGGAGCACATTACATTCATGAGTACACCTTCTTTCAGGGTACATTCCCATACACAGCTTGTACCCTTGAAAGCTCTTGAAGTAGGAGCTGTTGTCTTCTCTACACAGTGCTGAGCTCAACAGGTCACACCTTTTCTGATTAGAACTTCTGGGTACCTCAATCACAGTTATAGTTAATAAGGAACTGTGCTCAGATACTGATGAAGTAAAGGGTTAAAACTGAGTTTGAAAATAAAGAGTGTGGGGTGGAGTAGAACAATCTGTATCTTTGTCATCACAACAGAAAAGGATTCTTTCTATTTAAAATACCAGAGAAATACAGTTCAGCATGTGTCAGTTCTTCAGTAAAGCATTTCTTCCAAGTTCTCTGTGTATATTACCAGAGGGGACTCTCTGTACCAAACTATTCAGGGCTATTGTTTTTGGAGGCCACTGGGTACTTGCTTTGTCTTTCATCCTCTTCTCCCTTCCCTGCTTTCTTATGTGTCACTTTGCTGATCACAGGAGCCGGTGCTGATTTTGTCATGCTTGGAGGAATGTTTGCAGGCCATGACCAGTGTGCTGGAGAGATTATAGAAAAGAATGGCAAGAAGGTGAAACTCTTCTATGGAATGAGCTCTGATACAGCCATGAAGAAGCATTCAGGAGGGGTTGCTGAATACAGGTATGAATTCCACACAAGAGCAATTCCACTGAACCGCTGTCCAGTCACTTCTGGTGCAGAAGTGTGCAAAGGGCATCTGCTGGAAACAGGCCCATGCCTCTTCCTCTTTAGGAAGATGTTACTAACACTTGAAGCAGCAGATCTGAGAGAAGTATGAGATCAGGGGGGAGACAGGGAGAAGAAGCTTGGGGTGGTTATCTAGAGAGCAGCCGCGTTCACTCAGCTGTAGTCAGTGCAGTGTGCTGTCACTGCAGCAGTAGCCATGCGGTCTAGGAAGTCATTAGGCAGTGTTCTGACTTACGGGTCTCTCAGGATATGTATATGGAACATGGCATACCAGGCTGCAGTTTCTGTCTCTCTGCTTGTTCAGGTGGGTTGTCCTGTTGGTGTAAGGGTTCCTGGCTGGCCCACATGCTCCCTTCTGTTTGCAAAAAGTGGGTGCCTGGTGAATCAGATGGAGTTTCCCCAGTATACAGTTGAGTTACAACTGTAACACTAATGAGGGTCCAGGACCTCCAAAGCACCCTCAGTGACAGGCAGTAGTGGTTAGGCAGTTTTCTTAGGCAGCAGAATCCTTCTGTATAGTTTTCCCACCCGTTTTTGGTCCACAGAGCACCAGAATAGCCCCAAATCAGGCAGCATTCAGGAACCTGGGTTTTGAGCTAAAATCCTTAGGGGAGAAGAAAATAAGACAGACTTTGCAAAGGAATCTCTTGTCCATTGCTATTTTACTCTGGAAAGTGCTGAGAATTTTGACTTTTAAAAAGCGGATTACTCCAGAAAGCTTCCTATGAGTGGCAGGTATAGTTACTGCCCTTAGACAGCATGGTTCTTGCATACTTCGTTAGAGAATGTTTCATGTCTTACTGGTTTATTGAAGGGTCCCTTTTGATTCTTCTCCTCTTTTGGGGTACATTCAGCCTCTGGTCCCATCTAGTAAACTGCTGTTTGTAAGAGTTTCAGAAACAGTGGCCTTACCTACTGTTCCAGACATTCAGGATTGATGGGTTTTGTTGGCCTTGTCTATTACAACTACTCCCAGCATATGGGCTTTCACCATTGTGTCCAGCTGCTAATACAGGCAAGAGTTGCAGCACTGTGAAGGTGACAGTGTAGAATGTAAAGCAGAATGGGATCCACAAGCTAAAATGGAATTCACACTTTGGCACAGAGACATACTTACAGGACCATGACAATCCTATACGTCATGCTAGATAGAAGGCATCTTTGATCCAACCTCCTGTCCTCATCCCCAATGTTGTTTTTTTTTGGTCTGCCACTTCTGAAAAGCTAAAATGCACCATAAAAAATGTGCACTAGTTCACTTAGCACTTCACAAAGTGGTAAGACTCAGCCTACTTTAGAGCATTTACACCTGTCTCCTTTGGCCTACTGAAATCATAGAATCATACAATAGTTTGGGTTGGAAGGGATATTTAAAGGTCATCTAGTCCAATTTCCTTGCAGTGTCCGGGGACATCTTCAACCAGATCAGGTTGCTCAGAGCCTCATCCACCTGACCTTGAATGTTTCCAGGCATAGGACATCTACAACCTCCCTAGGCAACCTGTTTGTTGTAAAAACAATTCACTGTAAAAAAATTTCTTCCTTATATCTAGTATGCATCTACTCTCTTAGTTTAAAACCATTACCCCTTGTCCTTTTGCAACAGCCCTGCTAAAAATTTTGTCCCTGTCTTTCTTATAATAAGATAATATTTAAATATTTAAATATTGAATATTAAAAGACCATAATAAGGTCTCTCAGAGCCTTCTCTTTTCCAGGCTGAACAACCCCAACTTTCTCAGCCTTTCTTCACAGGAGAGGTGCTCCAGCCGTCTAATCATCTTTGTGTCCCTCACCTAGACTTGCTCCAACAGGTCCATGTCTTTCCTGTGCCAAGGGCCCCAGAACTCAACACAGTACTCCAGGTGGGGTCTCACGAGAACAGAGTAGAGGGGCAGAATTGCCTCCCTTGACCTGCTTGTCACGCTCCTTTTGATGCAGCCCAGGATACAACTGGCAGATTTTTAAAGACAGATTTTTCTCCATCTAATAGGTTGAGAGGGGGACAGGGATGCCTTTACCTTCTGCCTGAGGAGGATGTACATGACTTTGTTGAGTGGAGTGTATACTTTACCTGAGCCCATGTACCTCTTTCTGGGGCTCAGATCAGAAGCTAGTGTCTAATGTGCAAGGGATTTTATTTTTTATTTTATTAAATCTCATATGAGGCTGTACCAGTTAAAAACACTGCTGTATGCAGGATATCTGGCTACACTGAGGACAACCAGTGAATTGCTTAGGGGAGCAAACCATGTGACTGGTTTTCCACATGGTTGACCTGCAGGGCTTTTTTGGCACTGTGTGATTTTGCTTTCAAGCACAACTATTTATTTGCAGAAGAAAGAGCTGCACAAGCATCCTTCTGCATCTGAGATAAGCTGAAATGATTTACCAGAAAGATGTGCTCCATACCTCAAAGCTTTGATTCACTCTGGGTGCATATGCAGTTCCCAGAAGCAGTGTACAGTCTTTTTTTGTCCCCCAGCAAGTCTGCTTGTCATCAAAGCCACCGAACAAATGGTCTGAGTGGACAGCACTAGTAATTATCTCATAATTTAAAAGTGGCAACAGCCAGTTACACAGCAGTACTGGCAACGTTTTATCTGAACTACGGTATCTTACCGTCCTTTGCTACCATGTGCTTGTGTCAGCTGGAGGGTGGGAAAGGCTTGATGCTGGTCAGGCATGTAGTTAATGGCAGCTCCCTGAGACATCACAGAGCAGCCCAAGCACACCGTGGATCTCAGTGCACCTTAGTAATTTAGGGCCTGGCCAACACAGAGCTGGTGAAAGTTGCAGGAAGATTTTGAGAGCGCTCGCTGTACCAGTGGGCCAAAGGACTAAGGCATCTGTTAAATTCTGTTCCACATAGTAAAGTGTGCATGTGATCTGGCAACAAAATCTATTGCCAGCATGAGAATTAATTGACACTGGACCCCCTTAAAAATCGGATAAAGTGCAAGTAGTATGTCTTGTAGGAGTAAAGGATGTACAGAATGGCCCTGTATTTGGCTCAGTCTAGATAGACCCTTTCAATTCCTTATGGACTATACTACACAAATTCTGCTTGATCCATAGCTCTATTTTGATTTGCATCTTGATTTTAGAGGCCCTGGGGATCAAGTTCTAAAACCTTCTTGGCAACAAGGGAACAAAAACATGATTGAAATTTTTAGTTCTTGTTGAGATACTGCCTTTTTGTGCCAGTAATAGGTAATGTATAAGGAGTCCCCTGGTCTACTTGTCCTGGTTTTGGCTCAGATAATCTTGTTCCTAGTAGCTGGTTTGGTGCTGTTTTGGCTTTAGTCTGAGCACATGCTGGTAACACACCGATGTTTTAGTTGTTTCTAAGTAGCACTTAATCCTGATCAAGGACTTTTCAGTCTCTTGTGCTCTGCCAGGGGGAGGGGCACAAGAAGCTGGGAGGAAGCAGAGACAGGACACCTTACCCAAACTAGCCAAAGGGGTATTCCATACCACAGCACTTATGTCCAGTATATAAACCGGGGGAAGTCACCCAGAAGGGACCAGTTGCTGCTCGGGTCAGGCTGGGTATCAGTTGGCAGGTGGTGAGCAATTGTATTGTGCATCACTTGTGTTTATTTTTTTTCCTTTCCTCTTTTAGTTTTTTATTTTGTCTCATTATTTCTCTAATCATTATTATTAGTAGTAGTATATGGTACTTTAGGTATTAAACTGTTCTTATCTCAACCCATGGGTTTTATATTCTTTAGATTCTCTTCCCCATCCCACCTAAGGAAGGGGAAGAGGGGGTGAGTGAGTGGCTGTGTGGTCCTGAGTTACCAGCTGGGTTTAAACCATGACATTACTGCTAACTAGAACGGATTTGGATGTTAAATCTGTAAGTCTTGGCTGTTAACTGTGGAGGAGATGATTCTTGTCTTCTTCACACGGCAGTCAAAACACAGAGCTGGCTACCCATACCAGCCTTGGTCTTGGTCTTGGTCTTGGTCTTGGTCTTGGTCTTGGTCTTGGTCTTGGTCTTGCTTGACTTATCCCAACATGAGTGTCACTGTGGTTTAAAAATAGCAACTGTTAGTTATCCAGCAAGTGTAAATGTACTTGGCATTGAAGGGATGACAAGAAACAGAGCAAGGCTGTGCTTTGAATTGCTCTTACAGGAAAAGTTGCAGGAAGTGTAGTCACTTACTAGTTTAGCTTACAGCAAACTTGAACCAAAACGTTTCTAAGTAAGCATTTTGAATGCTGGATACCCCAAACAGGTCAGGTCAGTGAGGCTTCTTCATATTCATTTAAAAAGCCCAGCTGTAAGTTTGTATCAGTGACCCCAGTAAGTTGTTTTGTCTTTAAAGGAGCCTATGTGCTCACCATGTTTTATTCAAGCAGTGGGGTGCTCAGTGTGCTCAGCCCCCTGCTGAATAAGACTACTTGTCACAAACTTCATCTTCTCAAAATGATGTGTTTTGGCTGGAGAATCTGAGCCTCCAGCAAATAGTTAAATTAAAATTGACAGGCAGTGTGAGATGGCAGTAGCAGGGAATAAAGTTGTAAGAGTAATTGTTTTGTAATGAATATGTCAGGTTGATCCATTTAATTTTGTATGAAATCTGTGTACCCAGTTTCATTACTTTTATGTTATTTATATATTGGTTTATTTTTACATTTTTACCTCCTTCCATGAGCAACACTGATCAGAGCTGGGAATTTCTGAAAGGCAATGATTAACTTTTTTTATGGGAGAAAAGAAATGAGGCAAGCAGGAGCAGAGACCACATGCAGTATTGTTCACTTAGAGCCAATTTGCTTTTGTTAACTCTTTTGAGATTTTATAGGTTTTGTGTGAATGCTGCAGTTCTACTGTGGTCACTCAGCAATTCACAGCTGCTATTAAGCTGGGTTTTGGCATTTTATACTAACTGTAGAGTGGAATTTGGGCCATAGAGACAGAATAGCATCAGCAGCTGGCTCCTACTTACTGTTTTTTTCTCTGTCCCAAATGGCAGCCTGGAAGACTTGCCCCCAGTTTCTGCCATTTCTTAAATGGTCCACTCATAATGTCACTTCATGCCAGCGCAGCCTTACCCGTGTTCTGCTAGGCTGACAGAGCACCAGCCCATGTGCTTCCCTTCATTCACCCTGCCAGAATTTCCAGCCACTGTGCCGATCCCTCTGTGCCAGCAGCAGGCTTGAGCTGGCCAGGAGTTACAGACGCCCCACTGGACCCTGTGTAAAAAGTCTCAAGCGAATAGTTCTCCCTTTCTACTCACCATTCAGGGGCTAATGAGAGACACAGAGTCTCTGCTGACAGCATCAGAGCACACCTTTCCGGCTGTTTGGAGTCCAAATTGCTCTGTCTTCACATTTCTTTTCTGAGATAAGGTTAGTTTGGAGTCATAACTCTGGGAGAGATGTCAGAGCTGCAAATCCCTCAGCTGCTCCCGTTGACTTGTTTATGCAGCTCTCTGCCAAGTGTACCAGCTTTTGTGACATCCCTTGTAATCCACTGTTGTGGTTTAACCTAGCAGGGAGCTAAACATCACACAGCCAATCACTGATCCCTCCCCCCCACAGTGGGATGGAGGAAAGAGTTGACAAAAAAGAAGTAAAATTTGTGGGTTGAGATAAAGGCAGTTTAATATGACAGGGGAAAAAGGTTTTTTTAAATAATACTAATACTTTTATTAATATTGTTAATATAAACTAATATTATTAATAATAACTATTAACAATATTGTTAATATTGTTATTAATAGTAGTATTTAATTGTTGTTGTTGTAAAATATACAAAACAACTATACAGTTGCTTATCACCTGCTGACCAGTGTCCAGCCAGTTCCGGAGCAGTGGTCCCCAGCCAGTTTTGCCTCAGCTTTATATGCTGAGCATGACACCATATCCTGTGGAATACCCCTTTGGTCAAGCTGGGTTCAGCTGTGCTGCTGTGTCTCCTCCCAGCTTCTTGTGCACCCCCAGCCTGCTCACTGGGAGGGTGGTGTGAGGAGCAGAAAAGGCCTTGACTTATAACAAGTATTGCTTAGTAACAACTAAAACATCAATGCATTATCAACATGATTCTCATTCTGAATCCTTCTGCACGCAGTTTCTGCTCTACCTGTTAAACTGTCTTTATCTCAACCCCCAAGTTTTCTCACTTTTACCTTTCCAATTCTCTCCCCCATCCCACCAGGGGAGTGAGCGAGCGGCTGAGTGCTGGCTGGGGTTAAACCACCACAAGGTACCAATAGAGTCGTGAGTTCAGTAGCTGCAGAGCTTCATTTATATCCAAAATGGGGGATGGGTTAGGGTGAAGAGTATCCACATACAGCAGTAGGGCATTTCCCCATGTGGGGAGTGAGGTGACACACCAAAGAGCTTTGGACTCCTGGGGCTTACTCCACAGTCAAACAACATTAACTAAACTCTGACCTTTTACGCTGTGCTTGCAGTTGCTTAACTCACAGCTCTAGATTTTTGTCCCACTTCCATCCTATAAACTTCTTTTCCTTTTGGAACATCCATTACTCCTAGCATGTAGGGTGAGAGCATGGAGAATTTTCAGCACTTCTTTACAGTTACTTTCAAGGATGAATGTAAAATCGGACACTTGACATCTTCTGTGCAGCTAATCTCACACCTCTCTTCCTGCATGCTTCCCCTAGTACAGTATCTGTAGGTCACTCCTTGTTCAACAGGACATCCCACCAGCTTATCAGCTGATACTGGAGGAGCAGCAGCACCTGCCTAGCTGTTACAGATTTGTGGCTGTGATGTTAGATGTTCACCACTTCTGTAGGTTTCAGTATCCAAGGCCAAAAGTGGCATCCCACAAGCTCCAGCTTCCTAACAGCACCGTAGTCATTGCATCATGGCTGAAAGCACCCCACATTGCTGTAATTCTGCTCAGAAAAAAGGAGCACCAGGTGGTCACACTCTTGAGAGCAGTATTCTTATCCCTGCAGCTCTGTTGGACCACTCTGACTGGGGCTGCCTTTGTTTGCAATCAGCTCTCTGCTCAAAACCCTGCAACTTACGCCCTTCCTGGTGCTCTAGCATGAAATAACAGGGCATGCATGTTTGAACTGATGGGGCATTCATGCATACATTAATTAGACTGTCATGCATAAATTGAATGGACAGTCTGATTGCAGTAAACCTAGCATTTCTTGCCTAATGCAGCGTGCAAAGCTCTTCAGATGTCAGGATCTGGTAGGTAAAATTCACACTGTTCTCCCCAGTCTCAGACATGCACTGTCTCTTGCACTGTGGTCTTGCAACAAGCACCCAGGAGCCCAAGCTGAACCTCCTGACTTTGACTGGACCAGGTGGGCATGGCCAAAAGCCAGGCTGCAGAATGGTAGCATGATATGTTTGTGTTGCTCTGTGGGTCAGGCCTTCTCTTCCTGCTGGCACTGGAGCTGCAAGTAAAAGCCTGAGAACTCCCTGAAGCACAGGCTATACAACGCACCATTGTTCCCTGTGCAGTCTGGTACATGACAGTGGTACATACATTTTCCATTGGCCACTTATTACATTGTTTATTTAAGAGTCACTCATCAGATGTAGGGAGATTAATCAGGGTTCCTTATTCCCATGGAACATTAACACTTCTTTATTTTCTCCCTAAGGCTTTGACCTTACATTTAAGCTAACAGAATGAAATATAGCTAGGCTCACACTGAAGTACCTGCACATAGCTGCTGTTGCTATTGTTAATGATCTGCAAATGGACCCTCCAAACAAGGATGCTTTTTCTTTCTTGCACTGTCCCCTAGACAACTTGTTTAAGGGAGAATTAAATAAAGCCACATTTCCAACAATGACAGAACACTGCTGCAATTTCTGCCTCCATTTTATAGGGAAGCAGGGGAGCAATCCCATCTCCTGCATTTCTGTTTGACGCCCCCCTTTCCAAGGCCTGCCTCTCCAAGGGAGCAGGTGTGCCATGCAAAACGAGCTTGCTCTAAAGCCTAGTGAGATCAGCTGGTGACTGGTGAACTATACTGCAGGATGGATTGCTGAGCATGGGGCTGGAGAAAGCTGAAGGGGAAGGAGTTACTTGCCTGGATTCTTCCATCATATACTCTTCAGATGCATTTTTGGGAACTGTGCAGTCTGTGCTGGCATGTGCCCATACCTGACAGTATTCACAGCACTGCTATTGTTTCTGGCCTTTTTGCCTGACTCCGAGCACTGCTAGCTCACCTTTTAGCTTCAGGGAACAGTTCTGCAGCAGGTTTCGGTAGCAGGTTTCCCACTCCATCTCTGTGGGCTGGTAAGAGACAGCCAGAGCAGTTCCAGCTGTGTCAGGTCAGTGACATAAGAGAGCCCAGGAGCTCTGAAGCCTTTGTAGAGCTCTGCTGATTGAGGCAGACTTCAACATTTCTGTAAGCTGAGTTTGGCTGTTCTTTAAAGCTTGCATCTCTCAAAGTCAAGTTTATCTTTCAGTAAACCTGGAAGCTTCACTTGCTTGTAGGCAGTTTGTGGAGGGGAGAAAGGGGCAGATCTGTCAATATACACATGGGATATTGGGGCATCTACAATATTTATCTGCTTCTAGTTCACAGTATTGGTGGTAGCTGGAGTTGAGGCATTTCAGTGCTTCACAGCACCAAGCAGCAACAGGCAAGCAAGCAATAAAGCTGGGGGAACATTTGTAAACTGCAGTATTAAGCTCCACGTTGCTCCAGTTAGCACGCTATTACGTTTCACATCTAGACATAAATGCTGTAACCTGTTTCTTCTCCAGAGCTTCTGAGGGCAGAACTGTGGAGGTACCATACAGAGGGGACGTGGAACTAACCATCCTGGACATCCTTGGGGGGCTGCGCTCCACCTGCACCTACGTGGGAGCTGCCAAACTGAAGGAACTGAGCAGGAGAACGACGTTTATCCGAGTCACCCAGCAGCACAGCCAGGTCTTCTCTTAGCCCCGGACTGGGGAGCTGGAGAGAGAGTGGTGGTGGGAAGGAGCAGGAAGGGCTGCTTATTTGTTTTGCTTTCTCTTCCTTGTTGTGTTAGTGGCAAACTCTCTCTCAGAATGGCAGTGCCATAGCCATTGGAGGGGCTATGGCTGGGATTTGGAAAAGGAAGGTTATGCTATTAAGACAGTGCCATTATTTCTAAATGCAATAGCCTCATCTTTTGTTGTTGTGCCTATTTTATTTTTTAGTCAGCATTTCTTCACCTGTTTTTTTCCCCTTCTGATAAATGGCTGTTGAAACCTCAGCTAACAAGGAATTGGCTTGTACAGACATGGCTAGTAGATCTGCATACATACACACATTCCCTTTTTTAAGACTGACCTGTCACCTACCACTTGTGGCAGTGCACCCTCCAGATATTACAGACTGGGAGGGAAAAAGACGCAAGGAATTGAGTGGAGAAACCAAAAATCCAATTTTCTTAATCTTTGTTCTGGTGAAAGAAGGGCTGTTTGTGGCATGGCTGCCAGCCTGCCACCATGTCAGAAGTGGATCAGGCTTGACTGCTGGTGACTTCTTACTGTGATGATAAACACGCCAGATCTGTTACGGCCAGTTCACAGGGCTGGTACTGTCACTTTTACCTGTATCTCCCTATTCAATGGACTTGCCTCTCCAGAGAAGCTGGCAGTGAATGCAGCAAACCTGTACTGTCTTTGACCCCAGCTGTGGAGATGATTCAGGAGAAAACCTCTCAGAGCTTGCCATTTTTTTTCATGCATGCAGCCATTGAATTACCTGGGTTCTTGCTTTTATATGCTTTCTGTGAACAGATTTTTAAGACGTTGAAACTCAGCAACATCAACCCTATCAAGGGGGGGTTTGCTCTGTAGCCCTCACTGTTCCGTTGCCAATTCATATCCATTTAGCAAAGATACATAAATGCTGTGCTGTGCATTGTGTGTGGCCAGGTGAATGCGGCCAGAGGGATCAGATTCACTTTGGTTATTTGGTACCAGTCCTTTGCAGTGCTTCACACCATGAAAAGCAAAAGAGCTTTTGGCAGAATAGCCTGACACTGATAGGCTGAGCTGAAGTTAAAGCATTTGTTCTGAAGGCAGTAATGAATGCTTAAGGCTCTGGGTAACACTTTAATAAAGTGTAATGGACCACTAATTAATAGATAAATCACAATGAAATTTCTTTGGAAATGCACATTGCATCCACATGAGTACTGTAGAAGCTCGTTATGATAAATGATGTGAAAGTGAGCACCAATGAATTAATAATGCTTGGCCACTTACTTTAAAGTGCTGCTGAGATCATAATCGAGCTAATGTTACTTCAGTACTGCAGAATCTTACTTTCCCCTCCTATAGACATCTGTGGGAAGAGGCAGGCTTCCTTTGAAAAGCAAAAGAGTGATCTGCGGGAAGAGGAACAGCAAAAAGAGACTCTAGAATTAAACTCATCTGCTGGATGTCTCAGAAAGCCATGCACAAGGACTGGTACAATTGACCATGCTGAGGAGCAAATCTAGGCCACAGGCTGATCCCTGGTGATTTTAGAGTGTGTTGTCCGCATTAGAAAAAGCACAGAACATCTTCTAAATAGCCTGGTATTTTAAATATCTTCCATCTAACATTCAGGATGTAAGTGTGGTATGACCGCTTCCTGGGCTTTGGATGTGGATAAGGGCCTTAGTATACAGCACAGATTTAATGCTTGTGCTGGCTTTAAGGACCCTTTCTCCTGCCCACATATCATAAAGGAACCTGAAGGCAGAAGAGAAGAAGGCCTTGTGAATAAAGGACCTGATCGCTATTCTCTCCTGCCTAAAAATACCAAGTTAGAAGGTTCCAGGTTTGTTTACCACAAACCCTACTGTGCGCTACATACTGCTCTCACCTGCATTAAGCCCAGAGGACAGGCAGTATTAATACTCTGCATCGGTGCAGCTTCAGGAGGTCACCATTCCTTTGTTTAGTGTGATTTGAAGGGTAGGGTGAACACCTCTGTCAGCAGTAGGGTTAGACCATTGTGGCGCAGGCCTGACCACAGGTGTGCTTCCACGCTCGTGCCTTCATACGTGGGAAGAGCTGCAGTCTGCTGTCTCCCGCCTACTCTGGCTAGCGCTTTTCTACTTTTTTTAGCTACATTTCTAAACAAGAGTTTAAGGAATGCATATAAAATATATATATTTGTAAACATTTTTTAAAACCTCCATACACACATTGAATGGAGCAGCTTCGTGACAGGCCTTTGGAGCCATTTCTTTTCCAAAGGGCAGGCACTGGGGACATAGGGAGACTGCCTTTCTGCAGGTGCGGCAGGCGTGGAGCCTCCCACCCAGGCAGGCTGCACACGTACACGCAGCTCTGCCTGGCGCCACTTCTGCACCCACCTGCCTTCCCCTTTCACACATACCTCTGCCTGACCAGGGACTGTAGGGAGGGATGGGGATAGGCTCCGCTGAAGTTGTCCCCTGAATTCTCCAGGCTGCGAATGACATTGATGCTAAGAATAGTTACTGATAAAGCTTTGACCTGGGTTGTTTGGTTTTCTGAATAGCAGCTCTTCCCGTCATTTTGATAAGCAGCATGTTTTCTTTCCATTTCATTTTCTCCTCGCTCCAAAGTGAGTGAGGGGGAGAGTGGCTGCAGAAGGGCTGACATGGTGGCATGTCTGCATCTCACCCAAGGTTATATGCAAGTTTTGTTCAGGGATAACCCTCAACCGTGCCAGTGCTCACCACTGACACTGTACATGTCTAGCTCTCAGGCTGGAAAAAGGAAAAAAAGAAAAGCCTGAGCCCTCCTGTGCTGTAGCAGTTGCCCTTATCTTCATTTAGCCCCAGGTCCTGTGCCCTACTCAAGCCTGGTGCCACTCTCACAGGGGCTGGGGCAGTGGGGGAGCTGAGGGCATGCTGCGCCTGGCAGGGTGGTCTGAGAAGAGACCGCAACCACTGACAAACGTCACGTGCCATTTGTGGATCTACCTCACCTGCGCATTTAACTGGGCTCTCTGTTACTTGCTGTCCTTCTGTGGTAAATGACATTTGTAAGCGTTTAGTGTTAAGTGATTCCCTACCCCACCCCAACCCCATCATGGCTAGAGGAATGCTGTGACTGTGATAACCTGCTGCTTGCATGATGTAGGCCAAAGTCATGCCAGCTTCCCCCAACCAGGTGCTTGCTGAGCACCGAAGAGCTATGTTAAGCTTTGGCCCACTGGCTCCACAGTGATTTAGTTTAACATGCCGAAGACCTACAAGTGGGGATGCTGAAAAGGGCAGTGCTGATGTCATTAAAGCAATCTGTGCTGAGCATGTCCACCTCCGGCTTCTTGAAACCTAAGGACACCCAAACTAGCCCTACCTCTCACAGCCATGTTCTGGACTCTCCCTGCTGCAGGTTGTTTGTCCGGGAGGGCTGACTGGCCTTTCTGACCATGCAGCCTGGCTTACCTGGGTGCTCCCCTTCACAGGCAGGAAGGTCTTGGCACGGCGGCAGCCTGGCTCACACCCCAGCACCTGTGTGGTGGCTGCAAGGAGTGCGTATGTAGGCCTCCTCGTGGGCCTGAGGCCAGCCTCTTAGAGGAGTGGGCCTTGAGCCAGAACCCTGCCAGCTGCAAGCCAAGCCTCCCAGGTCTCCTTGCTCTGAAAGAAACAAGTGCAGGGACCCAGGGGGTGTGGGCCTCTCCCTTCTCCCCCATGAGGCAGGGGCTTTGGCTGTGCTCTTCTCTGAGGCTGCCTTCTCACCTTAGGGCATGGTGGGGCTGAATGTAGGTTGGGGCCACCCTGTAAGTAAGAAGAGTTGAGTTTTAAGTAGGGGCAGGAGGAGCTGCTGCTCACATTTGTAGGAGCTTATCTCAGACGAAGTATGCCTCTATCTTCAGCTAGTCAAAGCAGGGGGAGAAAGGAGGAGTATGTGCAAGAAACACAGCAGCAATTAGCCAAGCCCCACTGTGTTGGGCCAGGGCTTGGGGTTTTCTAGTCAGGGAGATAATGAGAGTTTGAAGCTTTTCCTGAACCAAGCACTCCTGGTTTGAGTTAACCGTCTTGAACAGACTTCCTTCAGCTTTCTGTCGGTGTTAGTGCAGTGTCTGTCCATCACCACCTCCCACCCTGCCACCTGGGAATGTTGCTTTTTAGTTGCTAATGCCAGTTTTGCACCGAAAGTTCTTTGTTGGAGCCAGGAGGCTTTTGCAACCAGCGCCAGGTTTGGCCTTGCTTGTGCAGAAGAGAGAAAAACAAAAAGCTCAGGCCCAGGGATAGCCATTTGCCTTCTGCAGCAGCCAGAGCCAGCAGTGGGAGTGGGCCAGGCCCTTCTCTGCGTCTGGGAGCCACATGTCTGTGTCCAGGCTGCATGCAGGCACAGCTCTGCGCCCTTAAGCACAGCATGGGCCATCCTGCTGCAGCCTTTGCTTTGCTTGCGCTCATACAGGTGCTTAAGCAAGCCCTCCCCAGCATTTACTTGATACAGTGTTTACTGGTTGAAGTTTTCATACATAAATAAACAATTCAGAGTCCCAAACTCCTTGGTGTTGCCTGTGATGACTGTGAAGCACTTGCATGTAATCGGTCAAAAAGCTGACAAGTATTCAGTGTTCTCCTGCCCCACTTGGCCCTGCCGAGGTGGTGATGGCGGGCGCTTCTGACCCTCACCAGGAGCAGCCGCGCGTGGCAATGGCCCTGAAAGTGTTCGTAAGTTGTAAGCAGAGAGCTTTTGTTACACAATAAAGAGCTTCTCTCTAAGGGCCTGGAAAGGGTTTTATGCCCATGAACGGCTACGTCCGTGTTTCTGCATCACTGCGAATAAAAGCAAATGCAACTCTCTCAAATGCATCTGAGAGCATTTGTGCTCTCAACCCCCCTCCATGGCAGGGGGTTGGAACTAGGTGATCTTTAAGGTCCCTTCCAAGCCGAACCATTCCGTGGCTGTATGAAATGGGTTGCTGGGAGGTGGGGATTAAACTGGGGAAATAACGTCCCTAGGAAAGCTCTCCCATTCAGTCGGAAGTGATAAAGACAGAACATGTGCTTGCAATTGGCACTGTTATTTTATTAGTACGAGTATACTGAAACAATAAACTTGTACTGGTATACAGACAATTTCTTTAAAACAATTTTGTTCAAATTTTGAATCAAACATTGTTTTATTATAATAATGAAATAATTTCTACCTAGAAAACCTGCAAGCACCATCAAAGAAAGGGACCATAAAATTCAATAAACAGACGCGAGTGTATCCTACAAATAGACACACCACCATTAGAAAATAGAATATGAATTCTTCCATTTTTTTTAATATTTGTTTTAAAAAAGCTAGTGCAAGTACAATATTTTACACTGGAATTACAGAGAGTATGCACGCATATGGAAAAAAGTTCTCCTGTCACAATAAAAGCTCTTAACTATGTCTGTATGCACTTAAAATCTTCTCCTCTTTTCAATAAGGTGCAAAACGTTATTCCCTCCCTATTTCTCCTTTGTACTGGCCATGTCAGCTCAACTTCTCCCCAACACAAAGCTGCGATATCCCTTTTTCTGGGCCTACCCTAGGAACTACACTGGAAGTGGGATTTGCAAGAACCCTCATTGGTAATACCAGACAATTTAATCAAAAAAAAAGAAAAGGAACAACAAAAAAAGACCTTAAAAACTGCTGCTGTAGAATGGCTAAACCTGACCCGGCACGGCCAAGCGCCGGGAGTGGTGACATAGCTAGTACAAAATGGTTTTCAGTAGCTCACCCGAACTGAAAAAGGTTGGGACACCCCCCCCCACTGTAACACTGCCAAAAGAGCAGTGTTCAACAAGTTAATATATTATTCCAAAAACAAAACAAAAAAGAGAAATCCAACATTAGTGAGTTTCAACATCAGCTGACTGCCATGAAGAGTCCTATCTATGCCTTAACAGATCAGTAACTTCGCCAAGAGGCCAGTGCGATGGCCAGGGAGAGGACACAGACCCAGCCACCCTCAGTGACACAGGTCCCACTCGCCTGCCTGGGACAGGAGTTCTGCAGAGCGTGGTCAGCGAGAGAGCACGTGGGTCCTCGAGTTTTAAAGCAAACACCAGGGAGGGATCCCCACACTGGCTGGTGCAAAGGGGCAGAGCGGGGCTGTCCAGGGAGCCGGTGGTCCCACACCGGCTCTGTGCCAGCCAAGGATCCCAGCCCTGAGGTTTCAGCAATCCCATAGTACAGCAACGACAGCTTCAAACAAGTGCCTAACGCTGGCTGCAAACAACACTTCCAATGCATACCTACTGCATGGTCGAGGGAAAGGGCACAGGAGCTTTGACTGCTCAAAACAGAAATGAACAAAAAGGAAACAACCTTGGATGAATCCTCCATCATAAAATCCTCAGTGGAAGACTTGAGTCCTTTCAGCTAATGACAAGAAAAAAAACTACAGAAACCTTAGAGACTGTTATAGTATAAATACTACCTGTTGGCTGAATGCACTTCATTGTAACACAACTGGGGCTGGCTTTCTGAGCGCCCGGGGACCACCTGGACAGGGCAAGTACTTTTGCCCTGCATGCCTACGGGAGCCAAATCTTGGGTTACCTCTGGGGAGGGGGACGGGAGCAGCCTCAAAGCCCAGCCGCCCTGCTGCTGGCTCCCAGCTGCCCAGCTCAATCTTTGGACAGGAAAAGGACCCTCTCTCTCCTCAGAAACTGCTCCAGGATCCTCTCCTTTTGGCTTCTGAAAAATACCAGTCTCACCATTGCTCAAGATCATCATCACTGGAAACGTGCTCTGCATGAGCGGCTCTAACACAGAGGTGAGGAGCGGGGCGGCGACAGGGGCTGCAAGGCTGGACCACCTCAGGTATCACTCTGCTGCCAGTGCTGGGCTAGGATCCCTTGTTATAAGCACTTCTTGCTCAGGGTTATACTCTTTGGGTTTCATCTGGAACAGGAAGTGCTGAAAAAACATGGAACAGCATCCCAGAGAGAAGAAAAAACCATGGGACCAAAAGCTTTCAGGCAGGAACTAAGCAGGTCGTGCTCAGGCAGCAGCGGCTCTCCAACCAAGGGCTGCTGCGGCACTGCCAGCCATGGCCCAGGTCCTGGTGCCAGCGAAGGGCACGGCCAAGGCCTCCCTCAAACCTGGCCGTGCCCTGTGGGCTGCCGGGGCTCCCTCAGCACAGGCAGGAGAGACTTAAAGCCAAAACAGAGTGAGACTCTGGTTGTGCACGCTAGCCACCCTTTGAAGTGCCCGGTAGCTGCACTCAAGAATTGCTGCTCCAAGGTATATTTCAGCACAGGAATAAACAGTATGAAGCATGACTCCATTCCCTGGAAATGGGACCCATGTAATACAAACAGAAAATTAAGCACAGTTGTTCTTTAAGAGCCTTTTAAGTAATAATTCTTCCTGGCCAAAGCCAATACAAATCAGATCATCTAGACATGACATTTTCTATATACAAAAAACATGAAACTTTCAACCTTTCTCTGCTTTTGTATTTAAAAACTTTTTTTTTGTTTTTTTTTTACAAACAAGGTATGAAACTCACTGTTCAAACAGAGCCATCTCTTTGTCAAACACTGAATGAATCATTCCAACATTCATTTTTCTTTTGTGCAATTGTTTAAAACATTACCTGTACTCCTCAATGTGAGTGCTTCAAAAAAAGTTTCTATTTTTAATAAGCCTCTCAAATTAGGTTTACATCAAAAAATATTCCCACAAGGTATAGTGCTACAAGAAAAGATCCTATCAGTAAAGGTAACACATCTGAAGCGAGGTCGTCTATGTAAAAGAAATTGAACTCTGGAGTAGAGGTGTGCAACGTGTTTGGAGTTCCCCTATGGACACAAAGCAAGGCTGTCCTCAGGACAGGGAATCAAGTGGACACATAGGCATACGTGCCAAAACAAATCACACGCATTTACTCGTGTGCAAACAGACACTTCTGTCTGGGGAGGTGTGTGTGCACGAATGCGGGTCTGCATCAACAAGTTCTCATTTTGCTATGGATTTCAGGATTTGTGGGGGTGGGAGGGTTGGATAAACCAGAGGAAGGGAAATTACTGCCCGCACTCTGGTGGTGCCTTCATTCCCCTTGCCTGTCACATCAGCACTGGCCAGAGCCCAGAGCGGACCCTGCTGTTACCTGTGGTGATGGGGAGGGAAGAAATGGAAATTATATGTACAAGAGCACGTCCTGTTTCACCCTTTGTTGAGTTCCTAAGGACAGCAAAGTGTTTCAACAGGCCAAATCCCCCCTACCAGCCTAGGGCTTCCACCCTGGCGAGCCTGGGTGAACCCCGAGTCTCTTCCATCTGCTTGATTATGGTCAGGATCTGGCCCTGACTGAACCAAGCTTCAGTTTCACAAAGATTTACACATGTGCTTCACAGTGAGCTCCTGAGCAGCCCTGACCGGCCAGCCTGGACCCCCTGTATGCATGTGTGTAAGTGTTTGCAGAACTGGGTCCCAGGATGCGCAGAGCACTGCCCCAAGAGGCCCCCTCTTTAAAACAACACTGTTGTTAGTGTTTAAAAATATTGAGGATTTGCTGTCCTTGATACAGGCTGTTGCAAGAATTAACAGAATTTCACCATTTCCTTTCCACTATTGGCAACACACATTAAAATGAAATAAATCTCTGCAGAAAGTGAATTTTCATGATCACCGACAGCTACAGTTCACGCTGAGCCTGCTGCTTTTGTATTGCAATCTAAGTGAGATCTACAAAGTTTAAAACCATGAGGTGCAGGAAATCCAAACTTGTCTGTAACATTGTACATCCCTACTCCGGAGCAGTAAAAAGTGCTGCTTCTGGTCACATCAGTGTACCACACATATGCCAGCCCCATCCCTGAGTAAAAGGTGTGAAAGATTTCTAAATGTTCCTTGATTTAAGGGAAACGAGAGTAGTGATGTCACTTCCCCATGCCGAGAAAATGACGGGAACGACAGGTCGAACAAAGCAACAGCGGGACGAAGGAATTAAGGAATAAAAAAAGGAAGGTGTCTCCCCCCTCCTCCCGAGGCCTACGTCTTCAAGGAAAAGCAAGCCCAAGGGCAACATATGAAATGAGAAAAAAGGTCAACAGCAACTCTGGTTTGGGTCTCAACCAGAGGCCTCGAGGTAAGTGACATCAAACTCAAATCCCCCGTGATGTGGCCCAGACAAACTGAAACAATGCCTAAGTTAAACACTATAAGGAACAGTCATTTTATATATATATAGATATATAGATAGATTAGATAGATAGACAGATATTTTCTTTTTTAGAAATCCCTATAAAGAGGTTCTTGTTTTATCTTTCTTTGCCCTGACTAATTTCTTGGTGATTGTATGCATTTCGTTGTAAACTAAACAGGCCTGCTACAAAAAGAAAGAAAGGAAAAAAAGACAGAAAGATAAAGAAAGCTACTGTCAGTTACTATTGCAAAGCAGATGCTGCAGAAGCAGTGGCTCAACCTCCTCCTTGGGCTTCACCTCAGCATCTCCACAACAGCGACTGGAATTTCTGCATGCACCCAGGGATTGATGGCACTTCCCAGGCGTGGGGACTCGCTGCAAGGGATGCTCGGGGCTCTGGGGAGAGGCAAAGCCACCACCGTGCAAAGGACTTGGTCTCCAGGGGGGCTTTTCTCTCCCTGATGGGAGCCAGGATTTGTCTGCATGCCATACAGCCCTCAGCCGCACTCCACCTGGATGACACGCAGACATTTATGTTTTTTCCTTTGTTTTTTTTTTTCCTGGATCTTTCTTATCATCCAATACAAAAAAGGTTCATGTTTCCTGGGGCAGGGGATGCTTGACCCTAAATATGTTTTCTTTTCTTGGAGGGGGGGGCAGGAAGGGAGTTATTAATAGGGAATAAAAAAAGGTAGAAAAAAACCCTATTCAAAAAAAGAACAAAATGAGGGGAGATCAGAAGTGGGTATGAGATCTAGCTAACACCGCACGGGTGAGCGTAAGTTGGCACATAAAGTATTGCACATCCTACAAAAGCCAAAGCATGGAAAGGGACAACTGTTTGGAAAGAACCAGTTCTTTTAGAATTGCTCAGTCTGAAATACAAGCGCAGAACTAATACATTCCTATTGCTCCAAACTTGTTTTTTTATTATTATTATTTTTTATACTCTTTTAGTGTTACTTGAATAGATCCAGTCAGTTTAATAGCCCCTGCTTCCTTATTAACCACAAATGTGTATGCATATGGTTTTACTTGAGATTACTTCTCTTTTCCCGAGTACACGTGAAGCATGGAAATAGTGGTATGACTGTGAACTAAAACTTGTAATTCTTTCTACTCCTTTACCATCAAAGCTTAAAAACAGAACAGGAAACAAAACGAAACAATAAATTGCAAGTGCCCTGAGCAGAGTATATGGAAGATTAAGCAACTTCTCTGAGCAGAAATATTAACAAATAAGCACTAACTAAGCAGTGTGACTGTGAGAAGAAACCCACTCAGCTATTTGGTAGCCTGCTGAGAGGTTAATAAAATTCAAGGAAATTCAAGAAAAGTTTCAAGCTATTTTAAATGTATTTCAACTTTTTGGTGCACCCCAGAATACGGTATAAAAACAATTAGGTCTGGTGTGAGCTAAATTTCAAGTAACAAGTCACAGAGTCAAAGCTGGGGTTTGGGGTTAACATTTCTTCTCTTAAATAAAAGCACTGTTATTTCAGGGGAGAGGGAAAATGAGATTTTAAATACATTTGTTCACTTTAGGTTACTGCGTTTCTAACAATGGATTTTTCTTTCCTTTTCTCCCTATCAATCAGTACAGCTTCTTCAAAACTACCTGAAGGAAGGATGTGAACTCGCCAACCAAACCCAACGACACAGGCGCTTGCTCACGTAGGGCCCCGAGCACAATCCCACTGAAAGACAACGGGACCTTTCTAGTGGCAGCGACAGGCGTTAGCGCTCAGCCCCGGAGCACTTCATACTTGCACCTCCCCCAGGCTCATGCAGGAGGCTGGGTGCACAGCACCTCAAAGGATCCGGCCCTACCTGGGGAAAGAAAAGACTGAATGGCATGAATCCCCCCCCCCCCCCATCCTACTTGGTTTGTACCAAACTCTTGAAATGTCGCCTTTCCAATGGGAAACAATGCAATTAAAATAACAAATAATAATAATAATAAAATAACAATAGGTTTGTTTTCAAAACAAACAAACACCTTGCTTAAGTATAGAAATGTTTCTCGTGGAAAACTCTCTCAGCAAGTCTGAAGAAAAATTCTCAGAGGTGTCCCAGTAGGACCTGGTTCTGTGTGGCAGATATGGTAGAAAGACCAAAAATGAACTCTTGAAAGGAACGTAACCCTATGAAATGGCCTAGAGCATAGGCAGGTTAGTGAGTAATTGCTACATTTGTTTATGCTCTTTCAGAACCCCCCCAACCCACAACATTATTAGGTAAAAACTGCAGGAATACCACACAAATGATAAACTCAAGATGTGCAAATTGCAAGATTCTTTAAAGTCCATCTTTTTCAAAAACACTGGACAATGATTTTTTTTTCCTCTTTCCTTTTTCCTTTCTCATATTTTTTTTCCTTTTATTATGTCAGCTCGCATATGCCTTTAACTCTTTCTCAAGCATTAAAGTTTAAAAAGTGCCTCCTATTAAGTAGTCCTTTGTGGACAATGACTGTCACATACTAGTTCAATAATTCACATTCATCCCTTTGAAACCACATTAAAACTTTCAGCATCTTGCCTGTGAGAAAACTTTATATAGTTGCATGTAATTACAGTGTTGAAGAGATTTGTTTGTTTGTTTGTTGTTGTTGCTTTCCAAGCAGATTAAAGTGAGATACAGTACGTACTGAGTGTTAGACCAGGATGCTCAGCAATAAAGTGTGAACAGCATTTTAAGTGCTTAAAGACATTCTAGGTTCATCTTCAACAGCGGATTCCTGTGTCACACCGCAATTTGAAAGAAGTGGCACCAGTTGTCCATAGTCATGAACTAAAACCAGTACTAAAGATTTGCAATCTAACTGCAAACCATGGATGCCTGTGATCTCAAAGGGGCAGTATGCATCTACCTTGTGGAAGCAAATGTCAATGGCGTAACCCGATCGATTTGTCTAACACTGCACAGAAACAGGAGTGAGCCTGAGCCAGGCGCATCCATGGAGCTGCAGGCCTCCTCACACACTCACGCACACCCAAGCCACACGCACGCATCAATACCCCCACCACACACTCCCCTGCCATGCAGGACAAGCTGGCAGGGTGACCGGTGCGGAGGCCTGACAGCCTCCCCGCCGGCTGACTCTGGGCAATGGAACTGCACTAGCAAGCAGAAAGGAAATGTTGGTGTGGCAGTTGCTTCTAGGAATAAAAATCAGTGCAGTCAGACCCCATGGGGGGAAAAATATATATATACATATACACACACACAAATATATATATATATATATATGTAGTAGAGCCTTGAGTAAGAGTTGGCTTGTTGTTGGAAACATCAGAGACTATCCGATCCTTCTCAATACCACCCATGGGTTGTGTCCTCAGCGTCCACCTGGGGTGAGGAAACCTCTTGACCAGCCCACCACAGAGCCGTAGTCCCTCCTTGGGACTGGCGTGCATGCACGCACATGCACGCTCACACACATACATGCACCCACATGTGACATACACCTCTGCTACAGTTCCCTTCTCCTGACCTCCCCCCAAAAAACCTAGAACAGGAACCAAAACAACAAAACAAAACAAAAAAAAATAAAACAAGGACAAAAGGAAAACAAAATCACAGCTGGACCCTGTCCTACTCGAGGTGTTAGAAAACAGGAGCCATAACAACACATTCATTTCCACTAAGGGTGTGTGAAGCAGATACTGCCCCTTCTGTAGCTCTCGATAAACCTAGTCACTGACAAACACTTGTGGAAAAACATATGCACCAGTCTCCTGCATAATACCAGCTGCAACTATAACAACAAGGTTATAACATAAACTTAAAATAAGATGATAACATGTAAATACTGGGTTATTTAGTCTACAGTACAGTAATCTGGATAAAAATGACAAGGGATAGCCTAATTTCCTTTCCCCAAACAACTTTTACTTTCCTACATTGGATCGACCTTCAATGCAAATCTTAACCTCCTGAGGAATAAAAGAAGGCTTGGGAAGAGTCAAAGGTGGCTCCTCTTCTGATTTCTCTAGTTTTCGTGTTTCAGGGGCTGACCACCTCCTCTTCCTCGTTGCCGGGGGCTTGCTGGGTTCTGTTTTGGTGAGCAAAGGTGCTGCAGGCAATCCTATTTTGTCCGGAAACTTCAGTTCACCATTCTCAGCTAACATCTGTGCACTTCCCTGATTAATCCCGTTTTCCTGCTCCGCATACCTGTGTCTACTTCCAGCTAGACTGTCATTCTTTGAATGCTTCAGCAAGATACTAGCTGAGTCCATGGGCTGGCCCTTTTTAATAGAGCCGTTCTTCAGGTTCTTGAGCGTGAGCGATATGCAGACGTCCCCCACCGAGAGTTTGGAGCATGGCAAATCAAAGAGCTGGCTGGTTCTCTCGGGGCAGCAGGATGACCAGCCTTGTCCAAATACAAAAAAAGGGTATTCTACCAAGACTTCCACGCTGACCTGCAGGAAGAGAGGGGACAACAGAGAGAGAGAGAGGGAAAGAGAAGAGAGAGCGTGAGATGACCTGTGTGCACGTGATGGCAGGCACCACTTGTTGCCGTGGAGAGGGATACAGCTAAAATCGCAAAAGTGCACTTGAGTTTCTGCAATATCAGTACACGGACCAGCAGCCTTCACACCTATCCTTGTCACACGAGTGCTAATGCTTTCTCCAAGCTCAGCAGGCATACCACAAGGCATCAGTGCGAATCAAGCTTTACCTTTATCAGCTCAGAGGCATAAAAGGCAAATGAGCTTTGGCATGTGGCAAATTCCATTCCCTGTCATGCCCTTATGGTACCTAGAGCCTGTCATCCGCATGTAAATACAGCTCAAACAGAGGATGGCTCAAGGGAAGCTCAGTTCTGACACTATTATCTAAGTGACCACAAGACTGTCATCCTCACCTCTGCTCAAGCATGTACTTACCAGTGTGAAACAGTTGAAAGCATGCTCATTTCCAGGGGAAGGCCATGAGTATGTACAGAGTCGTAGCAATAAGAGCAGGGAGCATGAACCTGCCTTCTGCCAATAGCCCTGTTAACCCCTCCAGTTTCTTCCCTTCTCACACCTGCTTTCATGCTTTGCAGTTGAGTTCACCTCCTGCAGTTCCTCAGGGAGAGAGAGGATCATTTCTCCTCCTCCTTCTGCAGTTCCTGCACTGGGTCTCCTTTTCTGCACTCTGCTCCTTTCCCCCTACTTTGAAAAACACATCTGGTTATGAATCCTACCTAACCATTTTACAGGAAGCTGCCACAGCCAGGAGAACAGACCAGCAACAGGCGCTCACTGCTCCTTCACCTTCTGAACGCTGGGCCTTGAGGTCCCAACATGATAAAGCACCTAACTACCTGCTTGTCTTTGCACGTGTCAGCAGCTCAGTGCTCACTGCACGGTGCTGTGTCTGCAGGCTCAAACATTTGATGTGGCCTCACACAATTCACCACCCATAGGGCGAGTGCCGGCCCCAGCACACCACATGAGGGCAGGAAATTTGGACCAATACTTTTTTTAGTATTGGCATGTGATCTTAACTTGCTGTGTGTGGCACCACTGAGGTCTGTTACTTTAAGAGGATGGCTTACACTGAAGTCCGATACCCATGGCTTTGCTTCCAAGGTCCCCATGCCCTTTGGAGCTCTTCTCAGGCACGGTGGGCAAGATCCTGTTCTCATATTGTAACCCCTGTTTGGTAGGGGCTAAAGGGTAGGATAACGCCTGATTACAAGTGCTCATCTCATTTCTGAGGCACCCAGCAGTCATGGAGCATACCAGCTGCTTGGAGAGCCTTCCCTCTCCCTGAACACAGACTCACTTGAAAGGAACATCACAGCAGGCTTGTGAAGCCATCTCTCACCTTGGAAGCGAGTAATGCTGTCATACCGAGCATGACTTTGTATTGTCAAAACCAGATTTCAGCATCAAGGAATAGAAGCAGTTGGAGATGCAGAGTGCACTTCAGTGTTCAAATAGCTTGTTCATAATAGTAAGTGTGAACCTGGGGATGAATTTGCATGGCCTGTCTCACAGAAGAGGTTGGACTCAATTGCAGTACAGCACCCAGCAGCCCTGATGCTTTCTTGCTAGTGCTGCTTACTCTCAGAGACACCCTCCCTAAAAGCAGGGCCGGAGGTACCCTTGCAGCTCTCCATCCGTTTTGGGCAGGAAGACTTGATCAGGGATGTCCCACAGTTCAGACAGGGGCTTCAGAACCAGGAACCCAAAGATTCCCATCAGATACTGACTGTGCCTCCAACTGGTTAAGCCCATGTCATGCACTAGCAGTCAACTGCTGTTTATGAGACAGTTGATAATCATAGAAAAAGACCTTATGATGTCTGTAAATATGTCTATAAATACATGCTATGCATCTCTGCAACTAGGCCAACGAGTAACACTGCATGCATTATCCTGCCACTCCACCTGCCCAACATAGTAAGCCACTATATAAGGAATTTCAAAAGGAACAGTTCAGAGGCACAAGATAACCCCCAACACATCACTCTGTCATATTAAACCTTTTCCAACCACAATTGTCTACCAAGAGTCAACTATACACATGGCAATAGTGTAGGATAGTGTAAACTATAGGACCTGATTCTAGGCCTGGTTTATGCTCTGAACTATGGAGAAAGTAGGGTGAGGTAACCATGAAAGTCCCATCCCTCCATGTCATTGGATAGAAAACATTCCAGTGCCAGATTTGCCTAAGTATTTGCCCAGAGTCTGGGATCTTATTCCACACATATGCATCTCAGTAGGGGGTCTGACTGGGAGAAGTGGTCAATATCCAGTGGTCAATATCAGTATCTCCCATAGACTTAAATAGAAACTGCTCTCTACACAGAGCTGTGGGCTCTCTGATGGATCATCCGGTGGACACAGCTTTCTCCCTTTATATTACTATGTCTTTCCTCTTTGTTTCTTCCTTCCTGCTGTTTTTATTCCTTCTTTTTGTGCTTTCCCATCCTTGTCAAAAGCTATTTGTATCTGTGGGAATCGTACATGCCTGTGTGCATCATACTCGCTGACACAAGTTCCTCTTGATGTGAACACACTTTCACCTCATGTAGTGTCCAAAACACTTGCCTGAACTGTCAATCACTGAAACAAATCCCAGAATTGGCAGTGGTGATCATGAGTAACACCAAACAATAAAGATGGTGAAATGCTGGAATTCCCATGATCTGTTCACAGTGTGCATGTAGCACTATCAATTTGAAATGGGCTCCCTCATGATTATCAAGCCCTGTTTTAGCTGGCTGTTTCTGGATTCAGCTAACTTGGGATTTAAGGTAACAATTCTCTACAAGCAACAGCAGTCAAAGCCCTTTAAAGTATTATAGTTCAGTAAAAACAACTGCACATATAGTTCAGTAAAAACAACTGCACATAACCTTTTTCTGCACTAAACCACAAAAAAATATTTTTAAATCTCCCTCCCCCAGTATCATCCCATGATTAATGTAGAAGACAAAGTTTGGAACTTGTTTTCCAGCTATTCCAACAATAAAGCAAGACACGAAAATGTTGGTCCCTCTTCAAGCACAATGAGGCCCTACTGCAAACTAGATTTCTGTCTCTATTTTTTTTTAAGGCTGACTAATGAAAACACCCCAAACTGTTCAGCGCAGCCGCTGAGTGTCTGCGATTTCCTATAACCCTTTGTAATTTTATTCCTCAGCTGAAGGCAGTAGGTAAGGCAGGCAATTCAGACTGCTCAGGAAACCCTGGCTGGAGCTGGAACATGGATGATAGGTGCTGAAAGATCTGATGCCCAGAAAATACTCTTCCCATCATTCAGAAACACAGCAACTTTAGTCTTGGGGCTCGCTGCTGCAACCAACACAACAAGCACTAAAGGAAAATGTGCCTCCTAAAAGTGGTTTGAGTGAACTCTATTTTAATAAATGTAAATACACATTTTCCAATTAAGTGGCATCAGGTTTCCCTGTATTATTAAAATGTGATGAAACGAGGAGTGGCAGGCTGGAAACAAAGAGAAGGAAGCGGCCCTGGAACCAGTGTGCAATTAAGCAGTGGAGATCTCCACAGAAGGCTTTGTTGCTGCTGTGAGAGATTCTTTGGGTCCAAAACCCAACTAACTGTGCGGCTTGGTGGAATAGGAGCTCTCTCTCTCACAGAGAGAAGTCTGTGCAGTGCCATTCTGCCACATGACGCCCCTGTACTCTCAGTACTCTGAGACTCTGGGACTCCTAATGTTCCCACCACCCCAAACAACACCTTCCTTCACCCTGCACGACATGTGGTCTGGTGGGCATCCATTACAACATCCCATTACAATGAGCACCTCCAGGCTTGAAGATTAGGGGCTACTGCTCTCCATGTGATCCCACCATTCCTCAAGAGAATCAACCTCTATCCACAAGTCCACTGGCTGCTGAATTTATCACACGAGCTCTTATCTGCTGCGCTCCCAGAATTCAGTAATATGTATCCAAAGACAGATCACAGCTGCCTCATCACTGGGAGGAAAAGGACTTATTGCCCCATGACCAGGGGCCATGGAGATCACATGAGGAGTGGAAGGCTGGGAGAGATCTCCATCTGTAGCAGCGAACTGAGTCAACATCTCTTTTTCTGTGTCTGTTACAGTGCCAAAGATAATGAAAAGGAGAGTGCAGAGTAAAAAAAGAAATAACTGGTTTGTGTATGTGCAGAGATACAAGGGGAAAACTAAACTGGATGATAGTCTAAAAAAATACACACTAAACAAAACTAACGTGAGCTACTAACTAGACACTCTAATGGGACTTTTCCATCTCCAGTGTCTATGATTCTGCTTGGTTGTTTTTTTTTTTTTTTTTATGGAAAATTAAGAACTATGTTCATTTTTCTTTCTAAGTGATACTTGAGGAATGATTAGGAACTGAAATGCAGGGATGAAAGCAAGCATTTCAGAGAACTTTTGCACCTCCTGTGTATTTTGGCCTTAACATTAATGGAGATGAATTACTGGCTTCCTCTTGTTCTTGGCAGCAAAAGAAACAACAGGTAATAATGATGAAAGTGTTATTACAAGAATAATATGTGGAATTGTAAAGAGATGCAGATCCATGGGTCTTTTCTTGTAGCAATTTGAAAACAGAGGAATAACAGCTAGACTTTGGGTTCTGGTCCAGTTGATATTTATTTGACTTCTTCCTAATCCAGAGTAGGGATGCTATGAAATGGAAACCTCGCATCCCTCCAGGGCAAAGGCCAGCTATTTCACTAAAAAGGCACGTAGCTTTAGGTAGGTTAATTTTCCTCCAGGTTTCCATACCTGGAAGAGGGTTTGATTTGTCAGCTGGTTGGAAGACAGGGAAAGGAGGGAGGACAACCTCTTTCTGCCTAAGTGCTGTGCTGGGGAGGGGCTTCTGTGGGCTTGCAGTGATAGGATACAATAGCAGCTGCATGGTGCCTCCCTACTGACATTACAGTTGCACAGGCTCAGCTAAAAATAATCTCCTACCTCTGTCCCTCAATTGGAGAGAAAATTAGCTAATGTTTGCACAGAGCCTGAAAATACAAATTCATCACTATTATAATGACTTCCCAGAGATCCCTGGGAAGAGTACGCAAGTGAGCCAAAGCTAATGATAACAATGCTATTTTTGTATGGCACTTACTCTTTACAACTTATCCCTTGATAATACCATTTGAAAAGCTCCTTCCTTCCAGAAGTATGTATGCAACTGGAACTTAATTGTAATTTAATACTTTGCCAAGCTACACTACACACGCAGATACATCCCCACTGTACTTCGGAGTCAAGAGGTATTTAAGTGCAGCAGCACCACGGTGCCGCTGCTCAAAGCAGCACGACTAAATACTGTTCTCGCAACAAGAAGTCTAAGCCCTCTTCATGCAGGCAATTTTCTAACAAGTAATGATTGCTGTATACCTGCTAATAAGGCTAAATGCTTTCATATAACAACGCTAGGCTGAGGGAGGTCAGAGAGACTTCAAGCACAGAGAAGCATTCTCTGTCTCAACCCAGGCAAGGGAAAACCGTCAGAGCTGTCCCCGCTATGCAGGGCCACAGCTGATCTGGGAAGAGACCCAAGTCCTGAAATCTGCAGGAAACCTAAATTAAACCCTCGTTTCTAATCATATCTCTACGTGACTCGCCCTCCATTCTGGAAGCATCCCCGGTGGGAAACACAGCTGGGGAGTATTTTGGCTGCGATGATGTCAGCCTGCTCCTGATAGGCTTCTCCGTAAGGTGCCACTGCTGGGTGAGACCCATGTGCCAGGCCCTGGATTTTTACAGGCTCGGCTTACTTTCTGCCAGAGGATGGCACTCCACCCCCTGAAAAGGCATTCTTCCCAGCGCCCAGGACTACAGCACATTGCCTGCATTGACACCAGTGAACGAGACATGACACAAGTGCTACCTGCTGATATGTACCTCTTCTGCTGGTGCAGGGACTGGTGGCCTGGCTGCAGGGAGAGAAGCAGGAGTGAGATGAAAACTGCCAATGGAAGATCGCTACTTTTGAAAACTCATTATTCAAAGCACCAGGGCAAATTACAATAACTGGTCCTGATCCCAGGACAGTTCTTCTCATTACAAAGCCCCAAATGCACCAAATTACAGTCAAGCAGTGGGGGGAGGAAACGTCACATCTTTATACTGAAAGCAGCAGAGGCCCAACTTCTATCAGCTGTGCAGATGCGCGCACATACACAAACAAAACTACACAGGGAATCTGCATGTTAGATATGAGAAAGGGGTATGTCATATGTAGCAATTTACCATGTATACACAACTGGGGAAGGACAGGCCACAGACTGGTGTCTGCTCCTCAGTACCATCAATCACTGTTTTTCTTCTCCAAACTCAGCCTGAGGTGCTTTACTACATAGGTCCACATCCAGCTCCTGAATCCCTCTCTCTCATTCTGGTTCTCCAGCGCTGAGGGTGCAGCAGCAAGATATAGATGTTGCAGCTCGCAGCACTCAAACCAAATGAAAAAGATTTGCAATGCGATTATTTAGACTGAGTACCTATAGGAAGCAAAATGCTATCCTGTACATCTGAACTGCTCCAGCCTCAATGCAGCAGAATCTACACTGCTCAGAAAAAGGACAGCAGCAGCGTGATGGTTTACGATCAATATGTATTAGTTCTCAACCTAAAAATACCTTTGGAAAGTTACAGGTTTCCTTTCTACATTGCAAACCAACGAGAAACAAAAGTCAGAAGCACAGCACAGCCACATAGATGGTTTTTCTGTCTGAATTTTCCTTGAACACACGATTATGTAAGCTATGCAGTGTCTAAACCATCTGCAGCTGAAGCCTCCACAGAACTCTGTAGTGCATTTCAGTAACTTAGGTGTGTGATGGAGCCACTCCCGGGCAGTTCCAAGTTTTCAAGCCATAGAAATTCACTGCCTTGCGCCCTACCTATCTCTTAAGAGTAGGATTTGAGCTGAATCTAACCTGAGCTTTCTAGTGTGGAAGGTTAAGAATCACCTATCAAAATGCAAAATATATCCTCTCGTACTGCTTACGCCATTTTATATTTTAATCAAAACCCATGTAATTCTTCTCGTGTAAGAAAGACCTGGTTTACATCCAAGAGACTACAGTTATCACCAGTGTGACCCTGGCAGCTCCCCCGTCATGGCAGAAGGCCTGCGTTTTGGACCATAGTTTGTATCATGGATGGATGTGGATGACAAAGAACCACCCCCGTGCAGATCCAAAGTGACAGATGTTCTGAAGAAAGCTGCACCTGGGTGAGAGAGAATACAGGGTGTACCCCAGTCCAACACCCCTACCCCACCATGCATTGCCATTACCTGTGCTCGATGCTCCCCAACTGCAAACTGTATCACGGCAATGCCTGGGCTATGGCTGTCTTCAATCCTCTCCACAGTGCTGGAGTCTATTTTCAGGTCATTGCTAATTTCCGCGCTCTGTATGAAGTCTTCTGTTTTCAAGTCCTCTACTTTCTTCAGCTCCCCGTTGGCCAGCTGAATGATCGACCCCTTCATGAAGTAGGGGGGCAGCATGGGGGGCGCGGCGGCAGGGGAAGCGATGGACTGCACCACGGGCAGGTGGATCTGTGCCTGCACCATGGTGGCCTGGTAGGCGGGCTGGGTGGTGAGGGGCTCCGCGCTGAAGTTCTCGCTCTTAGGGACGGCGGTGGTGACAAACGTGTGAGGCACTGCTGCAAACTGAGGAGACGACGTGACGATCGCGGGTGCGACTCCTGACGGCTCAACGTCCGCGCTGCCGACTGGTATCAGCAGGGACTGGGTGCCAGGGATTACGAGGTGCTGCGGCAGGCTGCCATGGTATCCGATGGCTTGCTGCTGACCACTCAGGTAGCCGATCACTGGTGGCTGGGTCCCGGCATAGAAGGCTGTTGCCGGCAGCCCGACGGGGAGTTGTTCGGAGGCGCTGTGGGTGGTCTGAATGACGGTGTGAGGGGACAACGTGGCCACTGCCTTCACCCCCTCGTGGCCCAGGGCCTGCTGTGGAGACAAAGCATAGGACCTGTGGGCTGGCTTTCCTAAGTGTAAGCTTCCCTTGTCATTAAGGGCTGATGGAGAGGTCTCGCGGTTGGTGGCCTGCTGCACCTCCATGTCCGCTGTGGGTGTGCTGCTGTTGGGGACTACCATGACGGAGGCTCGGACACCTGAGGAATCCCGCGCGCCGTACTCAGCAGGGCTCGAGTGGACCACCACGTGCCTGGTCTCGTAATGATGGGGAGCTGGTTTATTGCCTGCTTTGACTAGACCCATGTCGGCAGAGGGTGAAATACCATATCTCCGGCTCTTCTCAATCTCGCCGTTCAGTACCTCCTTGGCCTGCATCGCCTGCAGCCGGCTGCTCTCAGGCTTCTTGGGGGGATCCCTAGTGATGAAGTGGCCCCCCGAGTCAGTGTACTGCACCACTACTTGGGAGGAAGGGCCGAGCGTGAGGGTGTGTGGGATCACTGTCTGATGGGGGTGCAGAGGGACTGGGATGGTTGGAGGAGAGACATTTCTGACAGTGCCCTGGGAAGAGCTGGAAATATGGACGTACTGGTTCTGCTGGGTGGGTGGAGGAGACCCAGCGGCGATCAGTCCAGGCGTCCTGACCAGGTGCGGCTCAACTTTGTGCCCCTGCTGGCTTAAGCCGCTCATGCTGGCCAGTAAAGTGGAATAAGCCTCCAGCTGGGAGCGCTGGGATGGAGTGGTTGCAACGGCCGTGGCTGCCACGGCGCCGGTTGCAGAATTGGCTGTTGGGGAAATCAGCTGTGAAGGGATGAATCCGGTGTACGACCCGCTGTACTGGGGCCCAACAAACTGGAAGGTGTGTTGCAGGTGCGTGTACTGCACGGGGGAAATGGGGGTCCCTGACTGGGAGAGGGCGGGTGAATACACCGTGGGAAGGGTGGTGGAGGCTGGAACGGACCTGGGTGCGCTCGGCGGAGAATAGTCCAGCCCTGCAGACAGCGACTTGTGCAAACCCTGCTGCAAGCCTGCCTCCACTGATGATGTCCCCCCAGGCCGGTGCCGGCTCCCCAGCGCGCCCTGGCTGCCGGGTGTGCTGGGGAGCCATGCTAGGTTATCCGCACGGTGGTTTTCATTTGGCAGGATCGGCTTCACCTCCGAAGGCAGGCTGGTGGCAGGGATTTCTCGCTTCTTAGGTGGCAGGCATTCATTGCTCCGCTCTTGGTTGGATTTCATCTTTCGCCGTCCCCCCTCCACTGTGCTTGCTTCACTGTCTGGCTGGCTCTGATTTCAGTCTGATAAAAGGAAAGTCACATTTGATTTCTGCAAGGGATCCAGTGACTTCATGAGGAATCATCTCCCCGTGAGCACAATCCTCCGACAGCTCCTCTGGATTCTGCAACGAGAGGGCGGGCAAGGGAGGGGGGGAGTCACACTGTCAGCACTGAGAAATGAGAATGAATGAGCAGACACCCCGAAACAGCAAGTGAGAAAAAGAAAAAACACAGGGAAAAAATCCCCACAGACAGTAGGCATTGCCTCTCTCGTGTCAAGGAACAGTTGACAGCTGCGCTGTAAACAACAATGAAAAACCTTTAAAGCGATGGATATGTCTGCTAAAGCATCAGGAAAACAATTAAAGCTTTAGGCAGATCAGAAACTCTCTGGCCATAACTTGACACATTTAGCAAGGTTCACTTGCTGAATTTCCCAAGGTTCACTTTCTTCTTTCTCTCCCTGTCTCCAAGCTGCCCGGTTCACTCTTCCAGCCCCTGCTTCTCCCGCAACAATGATATTGCCATCACCCTGATGTTTCCTAAAAAGCATGGGAGCATGGCAAGGAGCCCTGAGGAACAGGCATGCGCTAAATGTTTACGTTAGCAACAAGTAGCTGTTAGGGGTGCAGAGGGAAGGTGGTGGATGCCCCCCACAGGGCGACTTCACGTCACACCCACACCGGGCAGGACTGCAGAGGCAGCAGCTGCCCCTGTCCCCCTCCACACCACTGCTCATGCAGCGGCACACGTGCCCTTCATCTACCAGCCTGGCAAAACACAATCTATTTACAGCAGCAGTCCAGAGCCAGAGATGGCTTTGAGCCAGGTTTTTAATGTGTGGGTTGGGTTTTCTTCCCCAGCGCTTTGAAATCCCCCTGCTATTGACACCTCACACGCAGGGGCCCAGGCAGGACTCTGCAGTGGGAGACGCTCCCCACCATGCACAGGTTAGCTGCGGTCAGGTGCTGGCACCATCCGCATCTCTGGTGGGATATGATCGCTCTGTTTCGGATGATGTTTTTGACCATGGAGGCTGTAGGTACCATACTCACAGCCACAGCCACATGTCTACATGCTGAGCAAACGCAGTCCTGTGGATGCCTCACCAGGAGCACTTTGAAAAGCACATTTGGGTTTCCTGATCCAAACCAGGAGCCCTCGCCACTGTAAAAGCTCACAATTTTATATCAATCTGATTTTGCTATTGGAGTAAAACAGTTGCATTTTCTGCTCTGCATCACTTAATTCACCCAAAGGCAACAAAGTCCTCCTGACTCTTTCACTATCTGCTAAGGAAAATGCCTTAACTAAACCACATCATGCTTGGGAAGAAAGCAAAGAAGCTCACCGTCTCCCCCTACCTTCCTGAAACCTACCTAGCCTTGTCCCGTAACAGGCTTTACGGAGAATGAAACTCTTCCCCAGCCCCTGTCCAGCCACCACTTGTTACATACATTTCCAGCTGTTTTAAAAGGTGTGCAGGAATGGGTGCTGAGAAACCGCACACCCCACATGACCAGCATCCTAAGAAGAAAAGCATGCATTACATGGAAGAAAAATGGGAGACAAAGAATTCAGAGTGGATGTGAAAGAAGGTGGAAATAGGATATAGCCTACTTTGAAGTGAATGCTGAGCAGCCGTAATAATACTTATCTTATGGCAAGTAATATTCCTTTGGGAGACTTCTTTCCCTGCTGCCTTGCTTCTAATGAACAATAAACCTGATGTTTATATGTATATGCAGTACTTTGAAGACATACTAGGCGAAGATTAAACCTATCTTTGAGAGCCCTCTTTATGTTTATGGTCCTCCAAACTGCTGTAAGCCTGCAGGAAAAGGCCAAACTTTCTGATGCTTTGATAGAATCAGTCTTAATTATTCCATTGCTTAAATATTGATAAACAGTAATAAAACACAACCAACCACCACAACAGGGGAGGCGGGGAGTAAAGCACTGTTTTGGGGTGGATTCTTGGCTTTGAGGTGAGAGGGAGGACAAAAGGGCTTAAGGCAGCTTCAAAAGAGCAAGAGCCAGTGATATCTTGAGCATGGCACCCACCAAGCTGTGGCTCAGCACCGTTACCCAAACCTGCCCCGACCCGCCAGCACTGCCGCCTTGATGCTGCTACCGTGGCTGGATGAGGGCAGCCAGAAGACAGGGTCCTTGCTGTATCAGCACAGGTCTTCCCCCTCCTCCTAACAGTTGCTCAGCGTGTCTTGGCAACAGCTAAAATTATTATATTACACATGACTTACAGATTTTTATTTTTAAGTTCGACTAAAAATAAAATCGCCGAGCTCACATTTGCGCAGTCATCCTTGGCTAACTTTAGCTCACTGTAGCCCTGGCTGCCCTGGGCAGTTGGCTTTGGCAGGTAAGTCAGCAGCTCCTGGCTGAGGAGGCTGCCTGGGGACGCTGTGGGGGGATGCCCTCAATGCAGGGCACTCGTCCTACTCCCTTGCCACGGCCTCAGACCATCCTTCAATCTCATGTGGAGATGAATGTGAGCTGCAAAGCCAGAGTTTAAATACACTCCCATGGGGAAAAGTGGGGAGCAGAAGCCTGGCCTCTCAGCCTGAAACAGAGCAGAGAGCTTGTACATAGGGCCAAAAAGGACATTCTCTTTCGCTGTCACAGATAAACCAGGCTCTCCAAGACTAGTTCCAAAAGCCTAAGGCATCTGGGTTCAGCTTCTCTGCATTGTGATCACTACTATGAAGCTCTGTGAATCATAGGATGGTTTGGGTTGGAAGGGACCTAAAAGATCATCTAGCTCCACCCCCTGTGCCACGGGCAGGGACACCTTCCTCTAGATCAGGTTGAAACTTGAAGTTTCACTCTGCAGGAGCTGAAGCAAAGGTTCTGTTCTGCTAAATAGCATCAAACCACTGTGTTTTAGGTAGCCTCCAAGTCAAAGCTAACATACTTAAAAATATAAAATATTTTGGGTTTGGGGTTTTTCTTCTGGTGTGAATCTTTCATATGGCTGATTTCATCATCACCAGTATCAAAAGGGCTGCCCAAAATCTCTGGGAGTGCACAGGGGGAATGAGCAAGCTTAATGGAGACAAGGGATGAGACAGCCACAGAGTGGTGCAGACTGCCCCACTTTTCCAACCCCAAGTACTTGATGGTGAGGCTCTGAACTCTAACAGACACAGGAGTGTATCTGCAAAAATGCAAATGTGCAGCATAAAACAGCCTACTTCTACTTCAAGACTTTAAAGTAAAGTGGTACGCTTTCAGCATAATTCAAGTTCCAGCAACAGCAAAGATAAGACAGGACTGATTTTGCTCAGGGAGATGACCCAAACAGAGAGTCTCAAAGACAAAAGATGCAAGACCTGTTTAAACTCTTCTTTGCTGGCCTAGAAATATAAACGCCTGCCTTCTGCTGTGTGCTGCAGGGTTTGTTATTTGTACACTTCTCAATTTTGGATCAGGGTCATTTTTCTGACTCTCAAGATTTCCTTTCCCTATAACTTCAGAGCTGTCGATCACGAGCAGCAAACACCAGGTAACTGTTATGCTCCTGCTTTGTACGTGCATGTGTGTGTCACAGTGTGTGCGTGCGTGCACGAGTGTGTAATTATGGCTGGGAAGGTAAAGAGGACAAAGAGATCAGGGACAGCAGCTGGACTTTGGTATCTCTGGCAGCGAGTACACATGGAACATTGCTAAAGTGTCTGGACAGCCAGTGTCCGCTGGCAGCCTGCCCACACTCAAATTCCTGGAAAGGCTTAAGGCAGAAAAATAATCACTTGGAGGAGTCACCATCTGGGCTTGCTCTGGTCCCACAGGGATTGCTTACTGGAGTTCAGGATGTGCATTTTTCATGCAAAAGTCCAACGTCTCTCTGTAAGGCACTTTAAACCTCACTATGTCTCCCAAACCAGTATTTTTCTATTTATTTCATCTAATAAATTTAAAACTCATGAGAAGAATCTGGCTTACAGCTTGAGGCACTGACTTCTTTTCTTTATCCAGGGTTCACCGCAGCAAAGGTAAAACCAGCAACACAAGCCTCCAAACACACCGTGATCATACACTGCGTCCCATCATCGAGGATTGAGTCTTGGGATGCAGAGAAGTTGGGGCCAGACTCACCAACCGCAGCAGCACATGACTATGCAAATGGTGGGACTTTCACTGCCTTCAGAAATGAGGCACTTTCTGCAGTCCCGTGATGTAGCTGATGTCATTTTAAGGTCTCTAAAACACCTTCAAAAATCTGGCCCCTCATCCTCTCTGGTCCTTGACCTTTCTGCAGTTGGTAACAAGCTCACACCAACATGTGACAATCGGGAGTCCAAGCTGGGACCACCGGCTTGTTTGCCGTATTGCAGGGAGATGACACAAAGGGGGACAGCCGTCAGCCTTCAGGAATATTCAGGCCAAACCAGTCATTTATTGTCAAAAGGCTCCTTTGATCCCAAATCCTAATAACACCCACATTATTAGGACTTTTCAACTTTCACCTTCCAGCTCCAGGTACGACCAGTAAATTCTCACATTTATCCCTGCAATAAAAAAGAATGGGTCTTGCCTCTGTCAAACATCATTGCCCTGCTTGGCAAACAGACATCAACGCAATATTCAAAGAATACACCAAAAAAAAAATCCTTTGAATTGAGCCTGACACAGGGCTCTTTATATCTGGGATGTTGCTGGGCAGAAGCAGCCATAAAGTCTAATGCTCCCGCCTCAAATTGCCCGCCCATCCTATCATGATAGGATGAGAGAGTAATTTTGGCAGTGCTGGAAATCAGTGGGAAGGGAGGGCACTTCATCCCACCTCTCCCCTCCCCTCCAAGGAGGCTGGCATCTTGCAGGATCAGATTCAGAGAGATTAAAAGAGACACATTGCAGAGGGCTCCACAGCTGCATTCTGGCTCTCAAATCTGTATGCCAGCTTTCCTCCCCGCTCTACAGCCTGCCCGCTGCCAGCTACATATTCATAGTTGTAACTGCTACAGATTGCATTAGCCTTGCCATGTGCAGCTCAGCGCACGCCAACAATAGCTATAGGAGTTTATTGTCCAATCCGACCAATTTCACAGCTCTCTGGCAGATTTCCCAGGAGGGCGAACTGCAGAGATCCATTAATAAGAAACAT